GGAACTAAACTGTGACTTAGAATTTTCTGGGTTAGAATGTAAATAATATATTATTATATGGCGAGACGTCACTAAAAACCCTTTATTACACTTGCAAATTTATGACCATTTCTGGAATTGTGAAAGCGGCCCGTGTCCAGCGCACAAATGACCCGTGTTCTCCGCTTCACATGAACCCAGAGAGGATCCGTGGCGGGCGGCCCGCATGATCAAAGGTTACATGCAGCAGCACAACATCCCCCAGCGGGAGGTGGTGGACATCACGGGGCTCAACCAGTCTCACCTCTCCCAGCACCTCAACAAGGGCACGCCCATGAAAACCCAGAAGCGAGCGGCCCTCTACACCTGGTATGTCAGGAAGCAGCGGGAAATTCTCAGACGTAAGTTAATATTTGAGTTTCTCACAGCTGTGCCTCGGCCCGTAGTTTGTAGCTAACGGCAACATGCCACCTAACTCGGGTTTCCCAATCATGGTGGATGGGAATGGCAGCAAAAACTCAGGGTTTTAAACTCTGTGACATAAATTCTCCTCTTGTTTTGCAGAGTTCAACCAGGCAGCGCATGGACCTGGGGGCAGTATGTCTGACAAAGGCAACCAGGACCCGGCCTTTTTTTTCCCAGAGTTCAACCCGTCCGGCCACAGCATGGGTCAGCCCGGCGACGACGTGGGCACCGAGCCCTCCTGTAAGAAAATGAGACGCAACCGCTTCAAGTGGGGGCCCGCCTCGCAGCAGATCCTCTACCAGGCCTACGAACGGCAGAAGAATCCCAGCAAGGAAGAACGGGAGGCGCTGGTGGAGGAATGCAACCGGTAGGTGAACACTGCATTCTCTGGTGGCTTCTGACGAAAAACACAAACCAAAAAGAACCAGCAACAGCACAGAAAACGCTTTTAACCGTCCTGTTTTTATGTTTCCTGCAGAGCCGAGTGTCTTCAGAGAGGGGTCTCCCCCTCCAAAGCTCAGGGCCTGGGGTCCAACCTGGTCACGGAGGTGCGGGTTTATAACTGGTTTGCCAACCGGCGCAAAGAGGAAGCCTTCAGGCAGAAGCTGGCCATGGACGCCATCACGGCTCCCACACATGGCCTCAACCCACTGCTGTCCCACAGCTCGCCGCATCACCAGACCAGCGCCTCGCCTCCCAGTAAGACCGCACGCCGCGCTGCTTTCAAGAAATTTAAAAAAAACGTTGCAAAAAATAATCGTGTCTCCGATTCCGGTGTGTCGGAGAAGGTTAGAGGAAGAGTTGATGTGATCAGAGAGGCAGAGAGAGAGAGAGAGAGAGGGAGAGAGAGAGGACAAGTGATCAATGAGCGTGAGTGAGTGAGCTGAGCAAATGCCATTGTTATTCTGATCTTTGAAAACACACTGAGAACAATCCACATTGTACCTGCAATCTCCACTCCAAAGTCAGCATGGAGAGGCATGACACAAAGGGCAGCAATCCTGTGACAGGCCAGGGTCAGGCCAGGGTCAGGGAGGGAGGACCAACGCATCCACATCACCTTGACATAACGCCGCCGTTTCCACATTTCCTCCTTGGCCGGAGACCGGCGCCCCGACGACCACCGCTCCCCGGATTAGTATTTGCGTTTAGAGGAGTTATTGGCTGAGTCCAACCGGTGTGTACGACGTAAAAAAACAAAGCCGATGGGCCTCCGGAGCTTTATCCCCGTTGCCATCACTCACCTTCCGTAAAACCCCTGATTTGAGACTCACTCGAGGCCCATTGTTGTCCTCTTGTGTTCGAACACGAGGGCCACCTTTGAAGGGGGAAAGCAAACTGTTTGCGCTGGCTTGCTCTTTTACCTTCGGATAAACTGGTCCCACTTGTGGATTGCCTGTTTGCTCTGGTTGTGTTGCTGCCGCTCGGAGCACCTGACCAGGCGCTGACCAGGCGCTGACCTCCGGGCAGCTCGGGCTTCTGCTGCTCAGGCCGCGAGCTGCAGAAGGGGAAGGGGTTTGGGCGTAAAGCTCCCTCAGAAATACCTCAGCTGGCTGCTTACAAGGTGTCCTGCTGGCGTCCTGCCGACAGCATCAGCTGTTTTTCAGTGTCAGCCCTGACCCGACAATAATATCCCAGCGGGGGACCTCATCGCGTTGCCGGGGCACGGCTTGTATTATGCATGCTTAATGGACAATTAAAATCCTTTTGCTACTACATCTCCCGGGCCTTTGATAAGAGGGCCCTCTGACTTCTCCTCTCTATGCCCGGCCTCAGCAGGAGCCCTCATTGTCTGCGGCATATTAGAAGACTGCAGTGACTGTAACCTAGGTTCATTTATCTCTGCTGGGCCTGAAGGAGGACCGGTTTCAAAGCCCCCCCCCCCCCCCCCCCCCCCACCCCCCACCCCTCCATTTGCTCTTTGAAACTGCCGCCTCACCCTCAGTCATACGTAAGAGGTCAGCGCTGGGTCATTTCAAACAAACTCCTCACGCTTGGGGAGCTTTTATTGATTCTGTCTTGGTCCGTTGATCAGTTGGTCACAACTGGATACACAGTCAAACAGTGTGACGTGCACTTTTGATGGGGAACTTTTTTTTTAACTTCGCCCTATGAAACGATCGGGGCAGATTAGCTGGCAGGTGGGGTCGCCTGTGCGGTATTTACAAATGCGTTGTATCTGAATTCTGCGTATGCTTTCTGGATTAATCCAGAGGCAAAAATCAAATTTAGACTCCTCAGATTTAAAGACAGATGGAAGAGGTCTGAGAGCATCCTTGTTCTTTCCACTAGGCTCGAAACAAATGTGGATATTCCCAGAAAAACAAGCCAACGAACTAAAAAAAAAAAGTGTTTTTTCCTTAGTAAAAATCACTATTGGCCAATTAGCTACTTCATTACATGAAAAAAAATTTAATTTAAGATTTTACCATTTTTTATTTTAATTTCTTATTTGAGTTGTTGTAAGGCTGGTTTGTATTGTAGAAGTTAGCTGACTTAGGCATCCAAATACAAATTCACAGGAAAACGTGTAATAAGTGATTTTGTTTTTAATGTTTGCAACATAATACGGTCACAGAAAAGCCGGGAAATCTGTGAGACTTTTTTCCTCGCCTGTGAGTTTTTTCAGGTCAGTGTTGCTGTAACATGAAGGACATCTGCAGCCGTGTAATGTCAGATGTTTTTTTTTTAATATAATCGATAAACTCATGTTTCTATCAATGCATAATGCTGGCTAACTGGGATTGTTAGCCAGCATTATGTGTTAGCTACAATGCAACCCTGTAAGACCCTGTAAAACTGTAAGGATATAGAGGCATGTTAAATTTACAAAGTTTTAAGCGAACATTTAATTTTAAACACATGCTTTATGTTATAAGTTTTAAATCAAATATCAGAATATAACAACTATTGTAGATTAATTAGTATCTGTTCCCATTCTGGTTATATTTTTAGTCATTTATCAAGTTTGTGTATTTTGTCACATTTCAAATTCAAAGATTCTCTGTTTCCCCTAAAAACTTCCTCCTAACAAACCGATACCTAAATTGTAAAATACCTTTTTTTTTATTATGCTAGGTTTTTTCAACAACTTCACAAACTTTACGACCTAGTAGACTTATCAACTCTTATGCTGCTGCTTACATTTAGATAGTCATATCCCAAATTTATTTTAGGTGCCTTTCCCCAATTTATCCCATGAGTTATTAAATGTTTGTAAGTCTGGATGCCAAATTTGTAGCTATGATGAAAAATTGCACAGCTCCACAGTTATTAGTTACCTTCAACAGTTAAATTACATTGAAACCAGATGAGTGCTGTGTAAGCGAGCTGCTTCGTTCTGCCCGTTACCAAACTAGCAGACTCAGAAATTCCAGATCAGATATAGTAGTGCCACTATACTTTCTGTTACCTCAGGCAAGCCTGAAACAGATACTCGTGCAGAAAAGATGGCCTAAGTCTGCACTTTCTTCGGCCCTGTCTCCCAAACAGCCACAAAGAGGCAACTGGATACGTCCTGCAGAGACCCAGGAGGTCTGTCATATGCAGCGGCCCTACAATGGGCACTGCCTGGGGTTGGGAGGCAGGCTTTGATATTACATGGGTCACACAGGGAGCTCAAGCTCTTTAAACCTGCTGAAGCTCTTTGCTGCCACTCCCCTTCTGAGGTTCTCGCCCTCCCCCTGTTCTCAGCGTGCAAGCTAGTTTTTTTTCTTTTCTTTTTCCTTGATTGTTGCATTGTGCTAAGTTTGGGTCTGACATCGTCTTCAAGGCAAAATCACTAACATTCAAGAGACGTCTGATTAAAAAAAAGCAGTTGCGTCCTGACTTTTGATGGTTGGAAGTCCGCCCGACACACTCTGAGGTTCCCCACTGCTAGAATTCCTGGCAAAGCCTAAGAAACAAAACTAGGCTGAATTGCATCCTTTACTCCCACTGGCACTTAAAGAGGTCGCCCAGCTCTGAGATAACTGCCTTTTTATGAGTCCTCCTCTATTGTGTAGCAATGGGGGTCATGAGTCCAATTGAGTGCTTTATTGTGCTGTGGCGGTGTTTACAAGGCATGACGGGCTGTTGTGGGGTTGATAGTATGTTGCAGGAGACAATATGAAGTCTGTTGGCCGTGCAAAATGGAGGACAGGTACTTGGAGTTTGATATATAGGGTTGTGGCTGTGCAGTATCTATATTCAAAGTGACATTTGAAACATTCTTGCGTGAAATATGTCTTCTCCCATGCGTATAGTTAAATGAAAAAACTGGAACGGGGTCATATTCTTTGTTAGTCGGCTTATGATATAAAGCTGCAAAACGTGGAGAAAAAAAACGAATCAGCCGTGACTGTTTGTGTAAAACAAATATATTTGCCATTGTTTTAGAGGGGTGCTTTGGAACAGAAGTTGATTAACCATATCCACAATGATGCCTGTGTGTTGGTAGGAAGCTAAACACCTAGGTGTGCACATCATGTCCCAGCCTCCAGCAGCACGCATTAAGAAATCAATGCCCTCCTCATTGCTTACCTTATGTGTCAGTGCCTCACCCTGTTTTTTATCTCAGAGTGGTTGTATATCAATACCTCCTGTCATGTTAGAGCAGCTTGGGTCGGGTGCTCGGGCTGTCACGCCCGGGTCAGGGACGCAGGGCTCGGGGAGGATGGGAGATTTGAGTGCAAACAGAGTCTGTCTCTGGACTGTCACTGAGGGAGGAACGCTCACTGTGTCTGTGTGAGGCTGAGCCCACAGGATAAGAATGTGTTTGACATTGCTTGTAATTGTGTAATGTTTACTCTGTTGGTATCAGAGGGGGGCCTACATCAGCAAACAGGCATTTGATTGTTGGGTGTAGGGGGGGGTGAGGCATTCCTTTGGACCTTCAGCGAGATACAACAAGAAGTCTGGACACTGAGTTAAATTATTCTGCAAAATTACCGAACAATATTGCACAAAATGTTATTCCTCCCCAATTCCACAAAGTTCCTTTGACTTTTGCTGATAGTTCTTCTACCCCAGCCTGGGTTTTACCTGTAGCCGAGCTCTTTCTGAGTTCCTTCTCCGTGGCCAGAGAGCCTTCCCGCTGACGTCATAACGCACAGCGTCAGCAGCGTCTGTGTGTTGATGGGAGTTTTGCTGTTGTGAGTGCGTGTACACAGCGAATGGCCTTGGATGAGCTGCGCAGATAGCGCTTGTGGCAGGGGTCAGCGTGTGTTTGTTTGCTCTGTCCTCCCCTGTCTGAGTCAAAGAGCAGGTGAGACCGGTTGGCCGGGGTCACAGCGAGTGGTGCTGGCTCTGGCCTACATACCGGCCACAGCTGGGGGGCTGTGGAGCCGCCAGGCTAACCCGCCCCCCCCCCCCCTCCTGCGTCTCTCCTAGTGCGCTACAGCCAGGGCGAGGTCTCTTCGTCCAGTGCCATCAGTCACCACAGCAACGCCATGGCGACCAGCCAGTCGGTCCTCCAGCAGGTGTCTCCGGGAGGACTGGACCACAGCCACAGCCTCCTGTCACCCGATGCCAAGATGGTGAGTGAACGCACCTGGGTCTGTGTGGACTCAGATTAGATAAGAGGAGGCCTGCGTTTAGCCTAAACGTACAAAGCAGGTTCCTGAACCTCCTCTCCTGTGGGCCCGCCGGCAGGAGCCAACAATTGGCACATTGTGCAGCTTTGTTAGGGAGGTGGAGGCCACCGCTGTTCCAGCAGGCAGAGGGCACCCGGCATGGTCAGAGCTCAGCCAATAAGCCCGACAAAGACACATTCTGCTTCTTATTGATCGAATACCTCTCAAAGCGGAGCTGAAGGTGGAGCGGCACTTATTCTGACGTTTGATTCTGCCCTTACTCCATCATCAGAATTTCTCCCCTCTTGTCCAATATTTGATCAACGGTCAAGAGACCCACATTACGCACGGGAAGTTCTCATCTCAGTTGTGGTGCAAGAATCATTTTGATACATAGTGTGTAACGTTTTAAACCGTCATACACTGCAACATCTAGTCCGTTTACTGTGTTTAGAATGACAGTAATGCAGAAAAAAGTCAATCAGGGCCCTCTGATGTTCAACCTGTTGGCAAACTTCCCTGTCAGGTCACTTCCACCTTTCGGAGCAACATTATGGGAAATGACGGCAGTGCAGCAAGTCAGAGCCGTGACTGTTTTCAAATAGATACAGCCCCACTGAGGGGAGGATCCAGACATCACTGTAACTGGATGCTGTTTTAGCCATATCCAGCCACGAGAAGCCCAAATCAGCTTCCCTTTGAATTTGAAACTGCACAGACTTACTGTCAAATGTCACATTCTGATATGAAAAACAAATAGTACAGCAATAAAACAGCACTCTGATTTCATTTCCCTCATCTCTCCCCAGATTTCTGGTTCAGGTGGAGGACTTCCTCCAGTCAGCACGTTGACAAACATTCACAGTTCCCATCACAGCCACCAGCAGACACAGAACCTCATCATGCCTCTGTCTGGAGTCATGGCCATAGCACAGAGTAAGTGCCCCGTCCCCCAGAATCCCCAAATATGGCCTCCTATCAAACATGTGCAGCCGATATGATATTTGTTACTTAACTATCTTCAGTGGTTTTTAGAAACTATAATCAAAGCATTATTTTATCATTCATTTTCTTATATTTATGTGATAAATTAGAAAATACACAGTTGAACAAACAGCATCAGCAGAAATCTCTGTTTTTTTTTCCTGTTTTGTGCTTTTGTCTCGATATGTATATACTCAGATTTTTTAGTACATGAATCTCCAGTTATTACCAAATCTTTATCTTCCATTAATCATTAGGATCTTATGGTTACTTGGGACATATAAATTAATATCCTTTGCCTTTGACTCTAGAGTCAATTCTAAACTTGAACTGACTTTTAAACTCAAACTAAAAACATCACGACAGCACTACTGAATAAACTTCTCTTTAAGCTGCTGTTAAACAGTCCCACTGTAAGAAAATCCTTGGGATTTACTTCACACCTTCAATCCAAACCGACAAACAAATCCCTTTACTGTGTAAATCCTCTGCATTTGAATGTCAAACTTTGGCTCCAAATTCCTTACGTCGCCAACTTACTTGTATTTTCCGTTTGTCCACAGCATGTTACTTTTTGTGCGGTTCATTAGTTATTTTCCTTCTCTGTCTGAACTCAGACTCAGCGAGCAGCTTTACACATGCCCTTGTTTGTTCTGGACACGATTGTTGTGTCTCCACATGCATCAATACCATAAGGTTCACACAACTATCAGTTGTAGTATTAACGTACTAAACTCACTTAGCTATTTAGTAACCAAAGCTCCTCTGAGTCATGATTATACGAGGTGAGTAGATATTGTGGTACATAATTTACCTGTGTTATGCTCGCAATACATTTTAAAATATCTAAGTGTTGCAGGCCAGTCATGTGCACACAGTCTGTGCTCATTAAGCCATGTTGCTATGGGTTACTCACATTTAGATCTGCCACTACTATGAACCCAAAGTGGCAGCTGGTTCCACAGAGAGGGGCCCGATAACTGCGGGCTCTGCCTCTCCTTCCACTCTAAGGAGACACAAGTAGACCTGCAGTCTGAGAGCAGGGTGTTCTGTTTGGACTTGGATCTTTAATTTATAAAAGAGCTCAGTCATTTTGATCTGTTTATGTGAGGAGCAGAAATTTAAAATATCTTAATTCAGAATTAAAGTGGGATTTAGTGAAGAGAGGCTCTGTTGCTAGTTCTAGTCAGACCTCATCTGAAATGGCTACAGCTTTTTTGATTACCGCAGACCTTATGGGGAAAATACCACGATGGCATGATGTATAATACATTTCAATATTATCAAACATCACTCTAATATTCAACAGATACTGTTTTCTTCACCATTTTCTTAGATTGGCGTGCATGGATTTTCTCATTTTTACCATGCCAAAACGGATCTTTTACTTTTAATTAAAGCAGCTTTTTTAAAATATAGTCGGTTCAGAGTGAAATAACTTTTCATGTGCTTATTGTCATTATTGTTTTTCCTGCAGTGGCCTGAGATCTCAGTGGTTTCAAGCCTCAAAGTACTTTGTTTAGTAGATCTTGGCTTCATATTTATTTTTCCAAAGTATTTTTTGTCCATTGTTTTTTTCATTTGACATATAGTTTTTTTTTTTTTGTCTTTTAAAAACATGTTTAATTGAATAGGATGAAAAACGTTAACCGGAAACTGACTGGATGTTTCTGATGCTTGGCCAGGTTTAAACACATCGCAGTCTCAGACGGTGCCAGTGATCAACAGTGTGGCGGGCAGTCTGGCGGCACTGCAGCCCGTGCAGTTTTCCCAGCAGCTCCACAGCCCCCACCAGCAGAGCCTGATGCAGCAGTCTCCCAGCCACATGAGCCAGCAGCCGTTCATGGCCACAGTAACACACTCGCACAGTCAGTAACTCACAACCTTACTTCTCCGATAGCTTGAATGAAAGAGTTGGCAAACTATTTTTCCATTAGAAGAATCAATGTTGTTTTCTCTTGGGCTTGAACTTCAGACCAATGTTCGTTAAGTGTCATTGAAAGTTCCCTTGAAGGGGAACATTTAGATCTTAGATCTGTATCAACCAATCACTTTCATCCAACAACTTAATCCGTGAAATTAAGGTGATATCTTCCATGTTTCTTTCCAGTGTATTCCCACAAACAAGAGCCCCCACAGTACTCCCACCCATCACGCTTCCCTTCGGCCATGGTGGTCACAGACGCCAACAGCATCAGCACCCTCAGCTCCATGTCCTCCAGCAAGACGGTGAGTCTTCCACCTCATCTCCTTCTGACCCACAAACACTTAGATTGGCTGTCTGATCTCTCTCTGCCAGCTATCACAAATCTTAGCCCAAGTAATAATTTACTTGCATGAGAATCAGTGTTAAATTTGTCATTTTACCACAGTGGCTGGTGTGTAATGCTGTTGCAATGTGTTTTCTTGTATTATCCACTTATTTCCTACCTATATATGTAAATCAAGCTCATATGCTCCCTAATGGAAAAAATCAAAGCAATCAAAAGCAGCTGAAACTTGATCGCCACATGGAGACGTGTGCGCGTGTGTTATGATTGTGTGCTGACTTGTTTGATTCCTGTCATATTAGGACCCTCCCGTAAACAAGATGGTGCAACTTGGGAGTCTCTCCTGGGTAAATACAACTTTATTAGCTGCATCACGCAGCTTCAATGAGTGAAATCTCACACGACCCTGATCATTAGAGTCAGTTGTAGACCTGCACGTGAAAGCTTTTACTTCTTGTTTGGGGCAGCTGCCTGTGTTCAAACACTTCCAGACTAATAGATGAGATGGATGTATGGAGGGGACACTCCTCACTATTCGTATTTCCTCTCAAACAGCTGTCTACTCAATCACACGTTCACTCAGCCTGAACGCCTCTTGATTAATGCTCCCTCTTTTCACTTCCTCACTTTCATCTCCCTGGTGAGAGTCACCTTTGTGATCAGGGAATGAGACCTCTTAATCAAAGTTCTCAAGCCTCATGTGCTGCTGCTTTCCTCCATGCTACAGTGAGGCTCGCCGATGGGACGAGTCTGTAGCGGGGGGTGGAGAGTTTTTTTTATTTTAGTAATTACACCTCTTCCTCTTTCCTACTTCTCCCTCCTCTCCATGATCGCTCTAGCCTGAAATGTTGTCTGTGGTGCTTTCACACGCTCAATTTCCCACGCTGGGGCGGCGTGCTCGAATCATGAGCCGATGCTGCCTCACTGATGGGACGGCAACAGAGAGCCACATGTATCCTGTGCCACAAAGCATACACCAGATACACACAAAAACTGATTTAGTATTAAAAACTGATGTGACCAGCAACTGGTAGTGGTAGCTCTGATGCTTTAGTTAAATAAAGGAACCATAAACCTATTCACAAGGTAAACTAATGTAAAAAATAAGTCCTAGAAAATTAAGAATCTAAAAAAACTAAAAAGGTGTATATCTCGAAGGTTCGCCTCAAAAAGGGAAACTACTGATCTAATCGTTATCCAATAATACATCACAGGGATGCAAATTGTGATTAATTTTCTCTTTCGTTTTCTTTTTCTATGAATTTCTAAGAAATCATTACTTTTTCTGCTCCATTAAACATGATCAAGGAAATTAAACATTTACCGACTTTATCCTTAAAAACAATTACTTAAAAGATGATGAAATACTGTCGCAAAAACATATCTAAACAGTGTTACGGTGCAGAACTTGCCCAAATTGTCCGACACTACCTATCCCTGTTTGGAGCCAGTCACAACATTGTTGTGTAGCATTCCACAATCTCTCTTATTTAGAGAGCAATTAGCTCAAAAGCCAGGTATTTTCTTATCAGGGCATCATTTGAAAGGGCCAGCCTTTTTCTCATAACATGGCCAGCGTGTTAAAGCTTTATAACACTTGCTGTTTACCAAGAACACTCCATTATACCTGTGTCTGTTTAACACTCACCTCTGCTCAGAGCCTGCTGTCTAATGACAGGTCTTGGCTGTGGGTCAGCTTTATCAGGTCAGGTGTTTGCTGGCCACAGGGTCATTTTGGGGCCATTTGCCCCCCTCGAGAGGCAGGTGGAAAACAAATTCCACAAATAGTCTAAAAGAGGAGAGTGGAAAGAGAGCTTTTCAGAGAAAAAAGGAAAAAGATGGTGGATGTAATTAGTCTAGTGTGGCAGGATGGAGGGAGAATTGAGAGTAAAAGTAACAGAAACTGCATTTGTTTCTTAAACGTAAAATATAAATTTTAACTAGGAAATGCACTTCATGCAACTATTATAATTTGTAAAGAAATAATTTGCCACCAGGTTTACTTTCCATTGCTGCTTTAGATGTGAATAAGAAAAAGGTGAACCTAAACATTATCGGCCTTTAAACTTGCAGATATTAAAATGAGGAGACTCACTTAAACATTGGTGACCAGTATGCTCCCAGAAATAACATTAAACCCGAAATATTCACAGAGATTAAAAAGTAAACCTTCAAGCAGAGCTCCCTCTATTTTCCCCTTGTGAATCTCCTCTACAATTGCTGTTTGCTCTCTGTACGGATGACGTCTTCCTCTACTGTCATAACCTCCAGAAGTGGAGCCCACACAACCTCCATCTGGTGTCAATAATATTATTCGAGTGGATGTGTTTTAGTAGTAAAAGGAAATCTGACTGCCATGTCATTTACTTCCACAGCAGTTGGCAGTCTTAATAAGATTAGCTCCAAAACATCCCACCGTACACTATTTATTCCAGCGTATTGCTGGATGCATAAACATGACCACTTACCACATAGCTCCTGTAGGGTAACAGGGTCTGAGGGGGGCTGGAGGCCATCCTGGACCTGTTGCTGGTCCACTGCAGGGCCGTGAAAAACATTAGAAACAATGTACAGTCTAGTGCATCCCAGGCCTACTCAATACTCGATGTAAACAATATATAGACACAGGAGCCATTAAATTGAATTAATCTGAACAGTAGAATTGTTGAGCTGTAGTCCTGGTTTTCAGTGGGGCTACCTGTCCAGTTCACAGCACATGTCATTTGCATATGTGTGTGACACTGGACAGATTGTGTTTATTGTTTTATGTAACGCGGGTTTATTTTGTCTGAGATCTCTCTTCTCTTCTTCTCCAGTGTCCCCTCCAGGCTTGGTGAGAGCGTCCACCTGACTTCCTTGCAACCCGGCAACGAGAGCACATTTTTCCACCCTCTCACCGCTGTAACCATGACAACGCTTAATACCCCGCAACGGTGTGCTGGATGACGCGTCGGTCAACAAACTCAGCGACAACAGTGGGCAAGGTGGTGGAAATGAGAAATGGGGACAGAGGAGAGAGAAAGAAAAAAAGAGTCTGGATTCACCTCTGTGGACACCCGAATGATCAACAAGGATGTTTGATTTTTAACGCAGTCTTTGAAAACAGTGTTCGGTTTTTCATGCCCCCCCCTCTAAAAGTTATCATCTGTTGTCACATAACAGAGGAACAAAAGCACCCAAATTTACTTTGTGGACCTAAATGAAGGCTCTGAGATGACCCTACCGGTCATTTAATGTGGACATATGAGGACACTGTGAGGGACACAGAGACAGAGATGGACCTGTGTGGGGGGACACCAGGCCCGTGTGACAATCACAATAGCCTGTTTTGATCTTGTGTATTCATTCCTCACTGGGCTTTAAAGGAGTCTTCCATTTTATTCCTTGCACTCGGTTTACCGTACTTGCATCAGTGCGAATGTTGTTTCATGCTGTTCAATGTGTATACTGTGATTGAAAAGACTTTGACAATCTTGAAAGGACTATGCAACGCGGCTTTAGGTGTGAGCAATGCTTTGTATAACTGGATTCTGCACAAAACTCCACAAGCTTGAGGCTGGAAATCAATCTGCGGCTGCCTGTAAAATAACACAATAGCAGATGGATGTATGATAGAAATTGACCAAAAATGTTAAGGAGCACAAGATATACGTAGATACTGGCCATAAGCTGTCTTCTGTATCTAGAAACCTATTTTTGCCCTTACTGGAAGGGCGCTGACTCATGTTCAATGCGGCCCATCCCTTCTATGGAAATTTCTGTTTGCACACAGGTTCAGGTGAATTTTTGGAATGGGACTCACCCTCCCTTAATCTCTCCCACTGACTGCCACAATGTGAAATAGGACAAATATTTTCAATAACTCCTCATCGTAAATCAAAGCGCAGGATCTCCCCCCCCTGTAGAATTAAAACTTGGTCAAGTATTCAGAAAACCAACAAACATGAAAGGGGACAGTGTTGTGACATCGTACAGGAATCCAGAGCTGCGTGCTCCAGCTCCAAATTTACCGTCAACACTTTTCCTATAACTCCCAAAGAGACAAGATAGTAATGTGGACCATCAGCTTGCAGATCCAGGCTCCTCTTCAATATTAGGTCATTATGTTATTTTTAAGTGGTTGGTTTGTGACTGTTATTGGCATATCTGCTGCCATCTGATCAGAGGGCGCTCGTACCTGTGTGATAAGAGATGATTTTTTTTCCTCCTAATGTATTATTTTTGTATAAAATTTAAATCAATCATAAATCATTATTTATACTTTCTGAGAAAAATATTGGTATTTCAAGTAAAATGTTTTTTTCCCAAAATGAACAAATGTTTTTGGTTATTTTCATGCCAACTGTGAGCACGACATCCCTTTAAACAGCGTACATGCAGATGTTCAAACACACAAAAAAATCATTGAACACTTACATATAGTCCCATAGAAAAAAAAGGTAGTTCAGTGTGTCTGTTTATAACCCTAACAGATATGTTACAGTTCTGCTGTGCGATAAAAAAACAGCCGCTTTGAAGTTCATGGATCTAAAGTGCACAGCTCATTTCAAGCAGCGAGGTCATCGACCCTGACGCGCTGATAGCTCACTTCATGTCAGCCTGCACAAGGAAGTGACTCTGAATACACCTGAAGAAAGTATATATTTAGTGTTTTTTATGCCTGAGCATAAGGAAGTGACTCTGAATACACCTGAAGAAAGTATATATTTAGTGTTTTTCATGCCTGAGCATAAGGAAGTGACTCTGAATACACCTGAAGAAAGTATATATTTAGTGTTTTTTATGCCTGAGAATGGTCCCCACGAAAGTTTGGCTGTCAATAAGCCACTCCTCAAATCGATAAAACAGGGAGAAAAGGCTGAGGTATGCCAAATGGCACAAGAAATGGCCTGAGAAACAGTAGCAACGTGCCTTATGGAGGCACCTCAACATTCCTGAAGCGGTTTTGTCAGAATTGTAAACTTATATTTTTCTCATTTTATCTAAAACATGAGAGGTGGGTCAAGATTTCTGTTTTCTATTACAGAGACAACCTATGATCATATAGTTAAAGTAGTAGGTTGAACAAAGGTTTAGGTATTAAACATAGAAATCTAATTGGTCTCTAGAAGCTACGCAGGTATAGTTCCTCCTGCGAAAAAATAAAAATAAAAGTTAAGGAAACTCAGATGTCACAAATTCTAAACATGGGTCTTTTTGGAGAAAAATCAGCAACTTTGTCCTATTAAGCAATTTACAACTTGCCAACCAGGGCTGGGATTTATTGACCAAATCTGTTGACCTGCAGCCTCTATCAAGGAGCCCTGCAGAGGAAAGCCTTGTAATCCACCAATGTTGCTCCATTTGGTTCTCAATGAAGCCTTTGATTCCGAGACCCAGGGAGCCTTGAAAGATCTAACCATGCCCCCTCTTAGTCTTTTATTCCAAGAGAAGCTGAAATACTGGCAGGTTTATTTGCATATGTTAGTCAGATGTATAACGCTTTAGTCTCTAAACATTAAATGTTATCCAGCTTTAAGGTTTGAACGCAAACTCCCAATTCCAATAAAGGTGCTGTGGAATTTTGTAGCTGCAACTTTTATTTACGTATTAGTTAGAGATAATTTATGTACTATTGATGCTCATTCTCTCAAGAGGTTTGCTGTAATTTTCTGTTAAATATAGTTTAAATGAGGCATTTTATTAGGATGGTGATCAGAGAATTAATCACAGTAATTTCGATGAATGTAACAAAAGGAACATTGATAAATGACAATAGCCTCAGCCTTGAAACCTTAACTGATTGAACACCTGATAGCAATTAAGCTACATTTATGGCTTGATCACAGAAAGTTGTTGCAACACTTCTTAATGCTTATAGTGGACTTGGATTTATAACAGAGCGTCAGGTTCGTATACTGTAAGTAACATAGGCTGCAAATATTTTCCAAATGTCTATAAAGTCAGACAATACAAAATGATAAAAAAATGTCTATACTCACAATGAATGTTTCCCAGGAAACTGTGTCACAACTAAAACTTCCATGGAAACATTCTTTCAACCAAAAGAAAGAAGATTTTTTGACAAACAGAAGATGCTCCACATGTGCTGCTAGTCAGGACCTCTAATGCTTCTGCAGCTCCCCCTGTAGCTGGGAGATGTAACACCACCGTCATAAAAAACCTTTAAGTTTCAATTTCATGTGACATGCACGGCCACGCATTCAAATTTGCTGATTTGACCCTCAGAAATATCAAGAAAGCAAAACTTTGTCCAAAGTTATGCTTCAATGTGAACATTCAGGTCCCTGTGATTCCAAACAAGTCAAAGCCTCTAAATATATATGTGTATATATATATAAATTACATCTTTTTTGGTTTTGCTTCCAAACAAAGAAGTCAGGACGTTGATAACGCAATAGAATATTTTTGAAGGAAATGAAAATAGAAAAAGGTTAGGGCCTGGAATACTGAAGATAGAGCAGAAGTAGCTTTCATAGAGCATCAAAGTATTTAAGGTGGAAGTTGACCGGCTGACTGGACCCAAGAGGTCAACAGGAGAGGCGAGCTGACACACGGGGAACAGGGGCGCGGGACAAAGGGACAGAAAGTGGAAGCTGCAGCGTGAATGAAGCCGTGTGTTTAGCAGAGCCAGAAGAAAGGATGCTACATCAACTCCAGCTGAGCCCCAAAGGGTTCACGGATAAGACTACCCTGCAGGGGCCGGGGGTCAGGAGGCCAGTCTTTGCCAGGTCTAATTGGTCACTGCGACAAGGGTTTGCACCAACCTCTCTGAGGAGAAATACATACAAATGTAGGGAGCTACCGGGAGAGAAGTCCTGCATGAAAGGTGCTCAGAAAGAGGCCTCTGTTGTGCCCCCGTACAGTCATGGAGATCAGTCAGGAACAATTGGTGCTCTTCGCCGTACATCCACACCAGCACCACCTACAATGACAGTAGATTACTTTTGATCCAGCTCATCTTATTGATCAGCTTCCATTTCTCAACCACTCAATTATGTCAACTTATTTATTATCCGCCAAGTATCAGAAAATCAAGCAGTCTTCACAATTGTTGCTCTGACCACAGAACAGCATCAAAAGACAAGTGAGGAACAGACCATTTGATAATGCTGAATTATGATAATTTGCAAGCATGCTTTTACATTTTAAAAAAGGATTTACAAAGAGACTTGGACACATAACATTCAAGATATTGATGGAAACATGCGAAAATTAGATAAATTAAAGTACAGCTTATTAGTACCCCTCAAAAACTGACAAAATTGGGATGCAACAATTTTTCCATTGCTACTTCTTTAGTGAATTTCACTGAATTTTAAGGGGTGAATATTTATTTCTGCAAAGCCAGTCTGGTATTGAATGAAAATGTCTCTAAACATGAAGCCCCAATAAGAGAAAGTGTTACAAGTGTGACACTTTCTATCAGTTTCTCATATCTTTATCTTTAAAAGGAACACCTTTAAAAGGTAGTAAAAACTATAAAAAGCATTATATAACTGCATTCCTCAAGTATCATAAAATTTCCCTCAGTACACTATTAAATGCACGCTGTTACATTCAGCACTCAGACCCTGGGAGGGATACACTAAAGAAGATTTAATCACCAGAAAAGGATTTAATTCAAGTGAATTTAAGATATAAATGATTCAATAAATAAACTAAAAATATAAATCACCCAGCAGATCTGAAAAATTTTAGTAATAGGGTAAAATATTTTTTCGTTATTCTCCCTGATGTTAAATCACCTGCAGGGCCTCACTCTGAAAATAACACACACGCACACATCGATTCTTTATTGGAGAAATAAATCAGAAAAACAGAAATGTTAACCTCGGTGTGAGGGACCCACATATAAGTGTTTTGGGAGAAATGCCTGCAACTGTTTCTCGAGTCCCACAAACTGACTCTATTTGCATCTGAGGCGGAAAGAGCTGTATGAGCTCCTGGGCTCAGAGCTCTTCTGACAGATTGATGTTGTCATGCTGATGCTGTCACCGGCCTGCTGCTGGACGGGTTAATGATTTATGGAGAATAATGGGATGCCCAGAAAAAGACCCAAGTTAATGTTCACCTCTCTTGCTGGACCTTCTCTCTGGGGGGGCTGACCACCGCCCGGCCGGGCTGCTGGTGGGGCTGACCGGTGACGGGCCGACTGGACCGGCCTTTGGCTAAACCCTGCACACAAAGCAGGGAGGTCGGCCACGCTCCGGGCCTGAGAGAGAAGGAGCAGGGAAAAGACTGATGGGGCCCTTTTGTCTCTCTAATTTGTCTCAATGGAATAAAAGAGAACAGCAGAAAATGATCCAATTGAAAGGAAGCCTTTAAACATAAATGTCTCCTTTAGTCTGGATGTTCAGGTCTCATATGTCATTCATGGGGAGTGTTGCCAGTTTCCCTGAGCTAACTGTAAAATGCAAATCATGTATCACGCATGTTGTTGCTCCTGTAACATGCACAGCACTAGTGAAAGTTTAACAACTAAACTTGGTCATATAATCAGTGAACTGTCTTCAGTAAGACTGAATTATATTCATAATAATGATATCTTTGCTATATTTAAAGATAAAAAATTCTGAGAATGTTTAAGAGAAATTACATTTAATTTTATTTTCTGCAAATTGATGACAGACCATATCCCTAACACTAATCACCTGCATTAAATTGGCAAAAAACCCTCAAATCTTCATCTGTTTGTGATACAGATTCTCTTGCTTGTTTGTCACTGTGAAGTTTGAATGGCTGCATTTATCCCTCTGTCATGCGTATGGACCCTGGATCACTGCTGATGAGGTAAAGGAGAGGCTGATGGCGGAGCAGGTGATGGATCGCAGCAGGACTTGTCATTCTCAGCCGTAACGTAGCCTCATTAAGCTGTAAATCTTCCACATTAACAGCACCCACTAAGATAATGACAGAGAGGTATCCCCGAAGTGGTGCAAATCAAAGATAGTTCACTAACAATACATTTATAATATGAATGAGAAAAAGCGAGGAGGGGGGCATGTAGTTTAGGGATTGCATACAAAAAACATACAATGTTTGCCTTTTTTCAGATTATAAGATCTACTAATGAACTTACCTCTAAAATAATACATTCATTAAAAACAAACTTTATACTGATGTAATTCCTAAATGTAAAAGTGTCTCCCATGGAACAAAGATGTTCAGTACATGAAGTTAAATTCAACGATGAGATCAACTTTTATATTAAGGGATAAAGTCACACTGTTAAATTGAGAATTATCGTCCTACTGCAGTGCTCTTTGAAAATTCCTTCAGGGCGACGAAAGCTGTACTTACAGACCATCCTCTTATCTAAAGCTGATCTTTCCCTCAATTCTGCTGAAATTATTAAACATTTTCAGTCTTTTCATAACTTGATCTGGCTTTAGAAAATGTTCGTCCATCAAAGAGCATCAGCATGCAAATATTTAATGATAGAGTTACAATCTGTAATAGAGTTACAGATTGTAACTCTATTATCACCTCCAACAATGTAACAATCTTTACAATCCAGCAGACTCCTCAGAGCTAAAAACTTTGCAAATCTACTATCAATAAAAATCAGTTGAGAGCAAAGACCTCACAATTACTGTCTTATATCAAATGGATGGATTTGCTCTCTCTAAAATCTAAATTAAAATGATTAAAACATTAACTGGGTTAAAGTTTTGGAGTGTTGTGCCGTCTGAACCTAAAGACCACTTTTCTTTAGATCCTAGATGCTGATTCATTACTGAACGTGGGAGTAAATCAATTTTCTGATTGATAATTTTATGGCTAAACTAGTTACAAATTGTAGATAACCTCCAGTTAGGATAAGATCCTTTAATTGTTTGAGTGATGGACTAATGAAAAAATAGTAACTCAGTTCTATTTGTGAGACTTACTTAAATAGTTTTGCCAGTGATGTGGTGAGAAAGCTACACAGTGACATCTGCTGGGCTAAATGTCTAATGAACAAAGCTCGAAGAAAGAGTTGTTGAAGTATTTTTCTCTGTAGAAACGCTTTTTCTTTCTTAATTGAAGTGAAAACAATACGTCATGGAATAATTCAGGTAATGATGTGGATAATAAAACGCAGATATTCACCCAAAAAATACCCTTCCCTAAAAAAAAAGAGACTTTTCAGCAAATGTCCAGTAATCAATGTTTTAGGGCTGCGATTAAACAGGAAGAAACAAGTATTGTGACAAACCATGCGCAAGTGATCAAATGTCATGTCAAAGAAGAATTCAATTAATTTCCAAATGAATTAAAGTGAGATATATGTAACAATTTGATTACAAACACTGAAAGAGTATGTTAGCAGGACATTACTTATGAAGCTTTTACAGGTTGCGCTAGTTTGAGCTGACATAATTTCAGAGTTTTAAGAAGAAACAATGTTCCGACACAAATACGTTTTATCAGTTTAGTATGTTTTACTTTAACCAAAAATAAGCCACCATGTAACACATGTAACTCAAACTAAAGCTAGCAGATCACAGACTTAGAAAATCTTTGTAAAAGTAACTTATTACTAAAGTTACCAAAATAATGTATTGAAGTACAACTAGCTGTTGTAAAATTTCTGTTTAACTTAAAAACTAAGTAAATTCCAACATTACATCTATCATACCACTAAAAGGGGAAACACGCTGATTTGGCCATGTAAATAATTTACAACTGAAATTGTCTTTCCTTCTTTTCTGGTACACTTCCATTTAATTCTGTTTGTTTTTTGTATATGTGTTTGATGCATAAATGCAGTTGGGTGGACGCAGTATTTATGCAACTTTTATAGCTGCATTATCTTGCAGAATATGTCCTGCTATTCACTTTATGGGAAACACAACAAATAGTCTGCAAACATTGAACTTTGGCCCAAGAGGAATATCTCCATGATGACTTAAAAGTAAATTCTATTTGATTGTTTTGAAAGTTGAGATACATTAGAATACTGAAAAATAATCGTATCTTCGATATGTAATTGTCTGAACAGGAAAATATGGGTAATGCTCTGTATATATCTTTTAAACACCTACCTACATTTTAATGGAACTGCTAATATTAATCAATTCTGCAAAAAGATATAAGATAGTACTTTGCCCGTGAGGCTGCCTGATGAGCCTGTCAGACTAAACTCAGGGCACACGTTCATGGGACACGTTGACGTCATTGCTGACGTCACCTTCCTACTAGTGACTGCTGCTATCAAGATGGCGCTGCGGCCGGGATCTGGGGGAGGCAGCAGGTATTTGAACCTTTTAAAGGAAAACTTTTCGGCCAGAACATGGCCCACATTTGACGTGCCCCTCTGGGAGCCGTGCACTCCCGCAAAAGGTAGCTGGAGGGGCCAGAGCCTCGGTGGTAGAGGCGGGTTTTGTTGTCGAGACGGGGAGATGAGATGAGATGGCTGGATGTCAGGTGTTCCAGCTAGCGTTAGCTGGTGGCTTCTAACTCTGCCTATCCATGGCCAGGAAGACCACAAATAACGCAACAATGCTCACATTTCCCCCAAATTTGACCTCTTCTGATGTCGTTGTTGTGTTGGTGTTTACAAGACCTTAGTCAAGGCGCGGAGCTTAGAGCTTAAATGCTGATTAATCTCTTAAAGCATTTCTAGGAAACAAAGCTAGCCTCAATAGGTAAGCAGGCAGGCCTGTGGGGCACCGGTGGCTGGTTTGTCACTATAATGCTTTTGGCCGTGGATATAAGGACTTTCATCGTGGTAATATTCTGTATTTAACAGCGGGGCTTTAGTGTACAGCCACAGAGACACGTCAAGGTTTGTCCTGAATCATGTCCACTCCACACCCATCTGCCCAGTCACACATTAGTGCCCCTCCGTAGTTGTAAATTTTTGGGGGATGTGAAAGAACTATATCAAAGCATAATAATGATGGGGAGCATATAAGATGAGAAGATCAGCCTTCATGATTTTTTCATAAGAGGAGCCAGAGCAGCTTGAATAATAGATATTCTCAGGCTACAAGTATCCAGACTGGCCAGGAGTTACTGATCCGACAGGTGAAACCAAAGCCCAGAGTCCTGGAGAGGAGCATGGGCGGAACGAAAAGCAGCCCAGCCAGTACACCCTGTATATTTGGAGATAAAACTAAAAGTGCAGTTTTACTGTAGGCCAAATAGTAGCAACTTTGATCAACTATACTCCAAGAGAAAAATGTTACATTACATAAGTGTGATCAAAGCTTTAGTGGTAATCTCCCTCACAAAGACACAATGGAGAAGCCTGAAATCCATCCTCTCATGTGGTGACAGATGCTGGTCTTGTGATGACGCACGTGAGACATGACTCCGTCCTCCTCAAAATCTTTCCTGGTAAATGACAAAGCTAATTGTGGGCACTTTGTATTTTCCAGCCCAGAAGCACAGTGACGATAAGCCGGAAACGGCGGACTTGGACTGAAGCCCGTCCCCGTGCAAAAACAAAACAGTGTGGCCGTTGGGTGATTAATGGCGTGTTTTTGAAGCGCTGCTGAGCTGGCCGGTGTCCGCAGCTGCTGGGGCTGCTTATCCCCCCCCCCCCACCCAGTAATCTGCAGAGCCGTGACCTGTTATTTTCTGCAGGATGGCGGCTGTGCTGCCGCCACCTATAAAAGCTTTTTAAGCTGCAAATCTTGCAGGGAACAGATGTGGTACTCTGAAACCCTCCAAGTTGAGCAGCATCATCATGATGTTGAACACGGGTGCTGCTACATTATTTCTATGTGAGGTCAAACCTCACAGGCCTCCTGCCTGTAGGCCTTATGACGTACCTCTGTTTATGTTCCATTCCCTTCTTCCCTGACTTCTTTTATTGGATTGTATTCATTCATCACTAACGGTGTGCAGGGATTGTTGTAATTATCATGTTATTGTACCAGATTTGTCATTGATAATATAACATCAGAGGGTTCTTTTCTAACTGAATGTAACTCTGCATTATTTTCTTTGAATCCTTTAGGATAATACGCACAAGCTTTAAATAACACAGTTACTGGCCTCTAAAGGAAATAGAGGAACCTTTAATTGCTCCACTGTGCTCATTTGCTGGTTATAATAAAAATAAATGAGATATTGGGATTTTTTCAAATGTATGATTAGTCTTTTTGGAAGAATGAATTAGGTTTGATTTTGTCTTTAGGATTTTTAAAACTTTTTTCCTGACATTTATTCACCAAACGATCAATAATTTGCTTCTCTAAAAAAACCTCAGGAATTGTGAGTAATGAATGTTGTCGCTGGCAGTCAGCCTCCAGTCAAACTGTGTTTGCTGCAGTGACTTCATTCTTTATTAGGAAAGCTTGAACCGTCTGGCACCGCTGACACGCTTTCCTTCAGCCGGGGCGCAGACCCTCCCGGCTTTGTCTTCAGTTTGTCTCCGCGTCGTCGCTTCCAACTTGAAGAACCGACTTTTAATAAGTAATTCGACAAATAGCCACAGGCCTGTGTGGGTTGGCTCTGGAGAGGGACATATTGGGAGAACTGTAGAGATTCTCTCAGATTATTTGTTAAACGCTTGTTTCTTTGCCCAGACGCGGAGACAGAGTCCAGGCCGCCTGTGGACACTAACCCGCAGCCTTTCCTCCCTCTCTTGGTTGTCTGGAGTGAGAACGGCTGCAAATGTTTGTTGGAAAGCTAAAAAGCACAGAATGGGAAATAGCCCCCCCCCAGCTTGGTGTTTGTGGTGGCTTTCACAGCTTCCAGGTTGCAGAACTAAACCCAACTGATCAACAACTGGTTATCTCATTCGGGAAAGAAAAAAGCTGCTGTTCTGCGTTTACTGTTTTAAATGGTAAAAGGGGAAGGTTACCATTCACATGGCACCTCGTTTTAACTTTTTGTTTGATGATTAATCTAGACTGGTGGTTAATTGCTTATCAAGAAAATTCAGTATATGAAACAGAGTTTGATTTATTGTCAAGAGTTTTGTAAACACAGCTTTCTCAGATTCATATCGAGGAATCTGTGTTAGACAAATGCACGTGAAGGGGATCTATTAATAAGGTTCTCAATCTATATCAGAGATGGGATAGCTTTTTAAAAAAAAAGAGCAGCAACGAATCAAATAATTTTCAGTGGTTGTGTTTGTGAGCAAGACCAAAATTATGCAAAGCCAAATTAAGCCCAGCTGAAAAACGATTTAGTTTAAAAAGTGTGTCTGAGTTTGTACGTCAGGAATCATCAGAGGTTTTCACTTCACATCTTCAGTTCGTTCGTCTGCTGCTTCTGAATAGTAGAAGTCTTTTTTTTCTCTAATAATTGCGGCTGAATAACAGCAGTCACTGGCTGAATTTCCAGCACACCATGCATTAGGAAACTGTTGTGGGCCTCAGCAGACGCAGGGCTGCTTCTGTATTCATACCATCATTACTGGAACCTGTTTTGAATCTCATAATCTGCTTTTTCTTCTTTATTTCTTCAGCTTCATGTATCCTGTCGGAGGGGGCCTGGGACCTCCACAGGGTGAGTCATGCTGCTGTCGGTGCATCATTACTCCTGACAGTTCACCATATTCAGCTAACCCCTCAGTGCCCCAGAGTTCAGCTTTTAGAATAACGATGTGAGCAAACTGTAATTTAGAACTAGGAGTGTTGTTTCTGGAATAAGCCAGTCAAAAATCTTTAGTTTTTTTTAGATGCAAGCAGATTGCAAAAACAGCTTTTTTCTATAGGTAGTAGTACTGATAAAGCGGCACAATGGTGTACACACCTTTGTTTCCTGTGCCCTACAGGCTCCAGGTGTGCCACCATTTAGCTTTGCCTTGCTTTTTAAGGCTTTTGACTTTGTAGTAACACCCGCAATAAGTCATTCACACCCCATCGGGATGAGCATCTCTTAGGGCTCATTACAGTCTCCTGTCAGCAGTGTCATTTTAGTCAGATAAATTAGTGTGTGAGCAGCTTGCTAAACAAGCCATTTATTCAGCCCAGTTGGACTCTAACACAGAGAATCGTCTGGGGGCTCAGCCCTGGTTGTGAGCATACAAAGCATCTGTGAAAATAAGCCACTCATTTTTTTTCCAATTTTTCCCCTTTTGTTATGCTCTAAGCTGCCAGAAAAACAGCCCCGGCTATTGCTGTGCCCGGGTCTTTTCTAACAGTCCAGAAAATTAATTAACAGTCCTAAATCACGTCAGACTGCTGTGGCTTTTTTTTTTTTTTTTTCAAACAAAAATTTTGTAGGAACTTTTACATTCGACTGTTAATTGAACTCGCTGCGGTGCCTCCATTGTTTGCCTGTGCAGGCATGGTGCCCATGCAGCAGCAACATCAACAGCAGCAACATCAACAGCAGCAGCATCAACAGCAGCAGCAGCAGGGCTTCCCGATGGTCCCAGTCATGCAGCCCAACATGCAGGGAATGATGGGAATGAACTTTGGGGGACAGATGCCTCCCGGCACCATCCCAATGCAGGTGAGCCTCAGATGCTGTTAGATGCTCTTTGACAGGAAACTCAGCTCACAACACACAACATACACTACTGTAGTAGTGTATGTAGAATGTCCCGATCCATCTTTTTCCGATTCGATCCCGGTCTATCAGAGCATGTATTCAAGTTTAAACTGACAACTACTTACTTAGTTGTCAGACTCATGTTGAACAGGGATTTACTCCGATAACAACTTAATGGCTAGGACACAGACCTGTGGGTTACAGATGCTAATCCTTGTGTTGGATCGGAAAATCTGTATCTGGAGCCTGGATCGGCATTTTCTCCCGCCGGCCGATACGCTTTTTTTTGCAAATATCGGCGACCCATCCGATCCAAATATCGGATCGGGACAAGCCTACACTACTGTATTGATTTAATTTCTGATTTAGAGCTGCTCTTATCCACATTTTGTTTTAACATGAACGTCTTCTCTGAATTTGTCGTTGCCTTCTGGGTATTTAACATAGATCAAATCCATTTACATAGTTCTCTTCATGATTCAGTTTAATATCCAGAAAAAGGACTGTGAGAGTTTCTGTTTTTGGGTGTTTTATAACAGGGAGGAATGGCGATAGGAATGCAGACCGCCGGGATGCCATTCTTGGGTCAGCCACAGTTCATGGGCATGAGAGCTCCTGGACCTCAGTACACCGTAGACATGCAGAAACAAATGGCCGAGGAGCACCAGTAAGACATATTTATAGCATTTTATAACATTGTTGCTTTGTCGGAGCTGGATTTGTTTCATATTTGCATGTTTGTCACTTATGAGTACAAATAAAAACGTTCTCATTATAGCATGCTCTGGTGCTCTTCTCGCCCTTTAGAAAACGCCTGGAGCAGCAGCAGAAGATGCTGGAGGAAGACAGAAAAAGAAGGCAGTTTGAGGAGCAGAAACAGAAGCTGAGGCTGCTCAGCAGCGTCAAACCCAAGGTGAGCGTCCCTTCACACGCCCTAAACCTGATGTATCTCCGGTCCTGCTGGTTTTCATAACCCTCTGGGTCGAACCCCCCCCCGGGCTCTGGTCAGACAGGAGAGAAGAGTCGAGACGACGCTTTGGAGGCAATCAAAGGCAACTTAGATGGATTCAGCCGAGACGCCAAAATGCACCCCACTCCATCGTCACAGACAAAGAAAGCAGGTACTGTTGCCCTGCCGTTTGTTCTTGCTGTACTTTGCCTTAGTTCTTCTGAAGTGCTTCACACTGACAATAATGGCCTGATTAGATGCAGGTCATCAAAAAGACTGCCCAGCCGGGAGCCAAATAAACCAGAAATGTGGGTTTTCTGGGAGTCTGTGCCAAAACAGATAGCTCGTATTACATAGATCACATGATTATTTTCAGCCACTCTCTTCAATCCTGTCGGTTGTTTTTCTCATTTTAAGTAATGTTGACGTTTTTCTTTTCGATAATCTGTTGTGAGTCCCAGTGTACAGCTTCTTTACTCGATAACATCGAGTCAGCAACATCAGTTGTAGAATTCCCTCTCATGTATTTGTATCCTTGTGCAGTTCCTAACATTGTAGCCATGCACTTATTAAACATAATTAATGTTTTGCAGCCATGGTTCACAGCCGTTTTAGTCCGTAAAACATTGTTTCAAAGCCACACAGTCTTGCAGCTACATGTTTTTAATAGAAATTCTTGGAAAAGCTGACTTTACTCATTTGGATAATTGTCTGAAGACCCTTGGCATTTATAGATCTTGGTTATTGTGTTTGCGTTTTTATTTGAGTTTACATCTTCATCGTCTTGGTCATCAGCTCTTGTAGTTTGCAACCCTTAGTTCAGTCTCCATCATAGAGCCATGTGTTGTGCCATCATCATTATTTCTTCATTTTTGCAGACTCATCGCCATCTCACCCGTCTGTCACCACTCATTCCCTCCCCCCAGCTTTGTCCGAAGACAATGATGAATTTAGTGACTTTCAGGGGCCCGTAGACACCCCTGCCCCCTTCCCTCCACTTTCCTCCTCTACCTCCACCTCTGGCCTCCCTGTTCTGGCCCAATCTTCACCCTCTGCCCCAAAACATTTAGCTGAGGATGAAGATGAATTCAGTGACTTTGTCCACGGACCTGTAAACACTTTCTCTTCCTCAAACTTACACTTCTCCTCTCAAGTTCAAGTCCAGCCATCATTCCTTTCCTCACAATCCCACCCTGCCTCTGTGCCCATTCCCACTGCCACCCAACACTCTGCTGTCAACACCAGCTCCCAATCTACATTTCAAGGTAACTCCTCTTTGCCTTTGTTGACACCTCTCCCTCCAGCCCTATAATATATACCACATAGTGCTGCTTTTTTACTGGTGCTTTAGGCTTTATTTTACCCCTGCATTTTGGTTTGGTCCTGGTCTGTACTGCAGCATGAGAGTACTGGTCAACAGATAGAAATGCACAGAGAGGCTGTAATGCTACAAAACACTTCAGTGTGTTATTCAAGTGAAAACATGCAATTAATTAAAAAATTTAAAAAGCCTTCTTGGTTGAAAAGCAGAAGAAAGGAGAACTGATGCTCACTCCGGTGCAGAGACATAGCAGTCAAGGTTGTTGAACTTCAATTTTTTGTTTTTTTATTCATTTGTTTTAACCTACAGAGCCTGCTGAGAATGGGCTGTATTAGTACAATGCCATTTAGCATGTACGATTAAAGAGGTTTTCTAATGTAACACATATAAGATGTGAAACCAGGCTGTTTTAGCTGATCATTTTATTTTTTCTTTTGGAAGATTTTTTTTATTTTTTCTCTCACTTGAAAGCATCTTGACCAGTCCCCTTTAGAGTTTGAGTACAGTTTAGAGTACATGAACTGTCCCTAAAACATCAGCTTATACAAATATATACTTCAAATCCAGCACTTTATACTTTATTCTTTTTCCTACTTGTGTTGGTCGATTTCCAAACAAATGCATCTACATCTACAGTAAGCAGGAACCTTCAGAGATTTCTGTTTGTTACCAAAGGTCTAAAACCCCTCTTGGAAGCCTCACTACATGTTGCTGACTGTATTAGCCTTTATTCTGATATCCAACTTGGCTAAAGTACAGAGTCTAGATAGAAAATATGTTTAACTGCCCAAATACGCAGAGTCTGTACTGTGATAAAGAAGCTTGTTCCACATCCACCCCTCTAGGCCCATCCCTGGAAGAGAAGCTGTTCTCCTCATGCGATCTTACCGCTGATAAAACGGCCCAGGTTAGCTTTAAATCTAAGCTAAGTTTGGCCCAGATGGCTCCTAGAACCAAAGTCTCATCCCAGTTTCAAGCTTGTCTGAAAGCGAGGAACTGGGATGCGGCTCCCGAGGACCTGAGTTCCGCCTTCGTCAAAGAAAATCCAGCTGAAGCCCCGTCGTCTCCACCCACCCAGCCCCCACCAGCTGCTGGCCTGTCCCCTCAAACCAGTAGTGACAGTGGTGAGAGAAGTGCCTGTTTTATTAGACTTCAAAGCTGTCGCTTCTCTCCTGCACTTTACTGCAGCATTAACACACAAACAAGGCAATAGTTTTCTTTTTTTTCTCCTTAAGAACTATTTTCCTTCTTCCTAACCCTGGCAACATTTTCCTCTCCCAAATGACATTACACTGAATCAAGCTGACACTTTCCTCAGCAGTCAGATTATCCCGAGGTGGCCGTGCCTTGGAGTTATTCGTGCCTGTACCGCTCTGTTCTTTTTCCTGCCTACTTTCTACACACGTCAGCGAGGCCTTGTCATGTTGGTGCTCCCCTTCTTGCATTGTGGAAATGGATTTTGTCGATCAAGGTCTTCCAGTGACACCCGCTGACTGAATAAGCTGCCGTCCGTCCCCTCGCTGCGTAACTCCCTCTCAGAAAACGACCTCCGGCGCATGCTGACTGCTTCGGTTTAACAGGGATGCGCATGGACTGGCAGACGCCACAGGGCCTGAGATAATCCAGGGCTGATTGTGCATGCTCCTCTGCCGCTCCTCTCCGCTGTCATCTGTCTGTCTGTCTGTCTGTCTGTCTGTCTGTCTGTGTCCGTGTCCTCCGTGTCATCGAGGTAAATGTAGCCGGTCCTTATTCAGACCAGGGAGAATAGTTAAGTTTCATTTATCTGCCCGAGACTGATGGGAGAATAATGTGGAGAGTGATTGCCTGAGTAACCGCGGGGACTAAAAACGAGCCGTCGGGCTGTTTTTACTGAGGTGTTTTTTCAGAAAAGGAGAAGATCTGGTCACTGTCAGCAGGTAACGTAGAACTGAGTATTACTGTTTGTGTTTTTCATACAAGACAGCCTTCTCTCTCCCCTTTCCCTGGATCTGAAAATGCCTCACAGACCGCCTCACCGTCCGACGTGGCAGGATGTTTTTGATTCAGTGCAGGAGAGCTTTACGGCTGCACTGAGCCCTCCAGACATCAGGCGCATGAGTTTGTTGTGTTCAACACAAGCAGGGCTCAGCTGCCAATAGCCTTCAGCACGGCTTTGACCACAGCAGCTAACGAAGTGCCCTTGTGTGCGTTTGTCCCCCTGTGACAGCAGGTGTTGGTGTGTACCCACAACAAGAGCACATCCAGTCCATGCCGCCAGCCTGGCTGTACAACGACAGCCTCATCCCAGGTAAAAATAGATGAATGCGTCCACAGAGATGTTTTAGACCAACCCTAGTGCCAAAAAATGTCACTAAACCGTAAAGAGTGTGAATGGGCATTTGATGGGACACAAAATCTGCTTTTTCATCCTCAGAAATGTTCAAGAAGGTTCTTGAGTTCACAATGACCCCCGCAGGGATAGACACGGCCAAGCTCTACCCAATATTAATGTCATCAGGTCTGCCCAGAGAAGCACTTGGGCAAATCTGGGCATCGGCCAACCGCACAACACCTGGCATGCTGACCAAGGAGGAGCTGTACACTGTACTCGCACTAATTGGTGTGGCACAGGTAAACACCGGCATCAAAACAAATGCTCCAATTAGAGCGCCTTTATGAGTCATCGGTCACACTTTACACGGTCGCCCCGTCAAATCCACTCTAAAGGTAGAGGGACCCGGTGCGGAACAGGAAAAAAAAGCGGCGTGAGGCATTGTTGGGGCGATACACAGCTGAATCCCCATTAGCTGAGTCTGGCAGGAGGCTTCTTATCACACTCAGCCTGGGCCTGTCGCCACCCCCCCCAAGGAGGATGCAAATCTGCAGGCAGCTCACAAAACAGTGCATGCCACCGCTTCTCTGTGTGGAATAGTAAGAGACCTTTGGAGATATAAATCATCGTAGGCATTAAATACGAGCCTGCAGAGACATCTGTCGAAAAGGAGCTCCATCAGCTCTAATTTATACCAACTTCAGTCTGACTTTACGATCATGGCCCCAAAGTAGATTATGGCCGCTGTGGCCTGATATATGTCACTGATCAGTATGTTTACATGGTTTTGGACATAAAATAAAAGGTAATCTTTAGATATGGTATACAGAATACTCTAGATACATTCTCTAGAGAATATAATGTATATATTATTTTGTTTCAGAGCGGCCTTCCAGCAATGAATGTGGAAATCCTTGGTCAGTTTCCCTCTCCACCTGTTCCCAACCTGCCGGCCCTAGCCATGGCCATGGCTTCTGTCATGCCCCAGCACCAGCAGCCCATGATGACTCAGCCCCCAGTCTCCATGCCCATACCCACACCAGCACCTCCTGTCATGGCCATGACATCCACGGCTCCAGCCCAGCCATCTGCAAACACAAACTTCATAGCCAGTTTCCCTCCCGCACAGGTAATGGCTGCGCACCTTTTAGTGTTGCTGCAGTATTTTCCCCTCATGCATTTCAGTCACTAACAAAGTGTCCACGTAGGCGGCCAAAACTGACGACGACGACTTCCAGGACTTCCAGGAGGCTCCCAAAGCCGGGGTAGGAGACCAGACCTTCACTGACTTTCAGGGAGAGTCGGGAGGAAATTTCCCCAGCAACACGTCACACCAGCACCAGAACAGGTACAGGCTGTCAAATGAGTCTAAACATTGAAGAGTTTTACAAACGGGAAATGACATTGCCCCTAATGCTCCGTGTTTATCATTATCTCTTCCCTATTACTCTCCAATCACGTACTTTTCTGAGAAGAGATGGGGATATTTACATGGATGAGTGTCTCATACTTATCCCCGGATGGTTATTTATAGACAAGATACTCTGCATAATAATCGTGTCTTGTCATTGTCTGTCTTGCAGTCAGAGGCACCGTCTTAATATCTTGTAATAACCTCCTTGGAATATCTATGAGTTCGGGTCATCTCTTAATGACTATGTTTCATTGGCAGTAGATAAGCTCATTTCTTCATATTACTTTCCAAGATTCTGTTCGTTCAGTGAGGCATAGCTGAGAGGCAGTTATCCTCAGAAAGACAGAAACATCTGAATTAAAGTATCTCAAATCTGTCTGGCACAAGGGATTCATAATTCTTAACACTTGGCTGACTATCCAGCAATATATCAAGAACTGACCCCAGGCTGAGGCTGTTGTCTTATTAAATAGGCATCTGAAAAGGTCGAGTTGGGTTACCAGGCAGAACCATCATAGTGTTGGATGTTCTGAACTGAGAATCTGAACTTCTTTATGTCATGGCCTTAATGTAGCATGATATTAGAGCATTTATTTGCTTGTCTATGTTAAACCAGCTTATTTTTTAGATATGACTTTAATTGTGTGAATGTGATTGTATTACTATTTTTAGACATTTTCTTTTGCATTAGAAAATGTATCATCACATAGCTGTTTGCCAGAACTAAAGTGTGAAGGTGTCTGAGCTAATTAGCTGCTATAAAGAGGTAAAAGTGAAAAAAACAAAACAGCTTGAGTCAGTAAATACAATGCAGCCTCTCCACAAGCCGAGCATGATTCACCTGTGGCTTCGTCTAGTTCTTACCCGATGCACCATACCTCACATTAAAACACACTTTAATCTCACAAAGGCTGCCTGCAGAACACACAATATACAGCACAAACGCAAACTTTAACTGTGGTAAAGCTCTTTTCAGCTGAATGAATTTGTGCGTGCCACAGAACTATGTTACCATTTAAATGTTCCCTTACCTTAGGCAGCTCATGGGGATTAAATCCACCCATGAACCTGACTCAGTATGACAGCTGACCATAACTTTTGGATCCTTGCAGCACGCCCGCCATGCTGACTCCAATGTCCGGTTCTTCGTCCGTTACGTCTTCTGATAAATACGCTGCGTTCAAGCAGCTGTCTGTGGATCAGCCTGCAGAGCCTACACCCCCTCCCTCAGGTAAGGTTTTTGTTCTCTGCCAGGTACAGCCTGGGATCAAACACATATACAGCTGCCTGTAAAATGATTTGTTTCTAGATGTTTTGAGCCGCACCAGTAAATTCGTAAACAGCAAAAAGGTTTTAAGAATGCAGAATTCAAAAGTGGATGTTTGAACGGTGTGACTTTTTTTTAATGTTGTGATTTCCTTTCTTCCAGACCATGGAGATAAATACAGTGTGTTCAGGCAGCTGGAGCAACCTGCGGGCAAGAAACCAGGAGGTAAGGAAGTCACATTGAAATCTTTCCGTTTTGTCTTTTTATTTCCCCCCCATCAGCTTTACATATTGAACACATATCCTCCTCAGGAACTTCATCTCTGTTTGGGGTGGGGTTAACACTGCAAACACCGCTGGGTTGGGGTTCTACCGGCTCTAATTAAGTTCCTTGTTAAACTTGGATAGAGTTGTCAGGTCAAATGCCTTTGTTCCATGTTTACACCGTTCCTTGTTTAGCAAGGCCACCGTGTTGATCCAAGTGTGCTTCCCATCCCTGTTTCATTAGAACAGTTTCTGATGGGGGCAGCTCTTACAACTCCAGTAAGTCATGCTTTGCGGTGACCTTTCTTTGTCATTGTCAGGCTCCATCTTCTCTAATGAGCCCATTAGTTATCTCTCTGTCACCGTACAGCTGCAATATGAACAGATTCTCTGTTTCCGCGTGTGCATACATTACCCCGCAGTGGATTAACTACTGCTGGGACCCAAACAGACCACAGCAGACACCGTGTTTCCACATTGTCGTAAACAACCATCTTAACTGGACAGGCCCCAAAGGGACAGCAGAACTTGTTAAGATGGCTGTTCTTTTTCAGCCTTCCTTTTTCTACACCTCTGTGCATGGGAGTGGTGGTATATGTTGTGTTTCTGTGTGGCCCGGCTTTTTGTGATGCGAGCTGTTATTTTAAAAAGCTCTGCAGCATCGGCTCATAACAAGCCTGGACTGTCCTCAGAGAGGCGTTCCGTAACTAATCCAGCAGCGTTTTCTCTCCTAGAATTCAAAATGAAATTGTGGCTGTTGCAGCTGAGATTTCTGTTGTCTTTTTTTTTTTTTTTGTATGATTGTTTTTTTTTTTATTTTGTTTTGCTAATCTTAAATCTACTGGTTTGCAGGGGATGGATTTGCAGATTTCAAGCCCGTTGGCGCTGACGACGGCTTCACAGACTTCAAAACCGCCGACAGCGTCTCTCCACTAGACCCTCCAGATCAGGCTAAGATTTTCCAACCTGCTTTCCCCTCTGCTTTTCCAAACTCTCAGTCTTTACAACAAATCCCACCGCAGCAGCAGCAGCCGGCCATGTCCGTTTCACAGCCCAGAAACCCCCTCAACATGGCCGACCTAGACCTTTTCTCTTCTATGGCTCCCTCTATTCCTGCCCCCAGCGACACAAAACCCAGCACACTCCCCCCCATCTCTGCGCCCCCCTCTCTGGTGCTTCTTCCTGGTGGAGCCAAACCCTCAGGGGGAGGAGCAGATGATTTTGGGGACTTTGCCCTCTTCGGCGCCTCCTCGGACACCACCCAGGCTTCGGCAGCAGGAGGAGCTGCAGCAGCACCTCAGGACGACTTTGCAGACTTCATGGCGTTCGGCAGCTCCGGCGGAGAGCCCAAAGGCGGGAGCAGCTCGGGGGTCCAGAGCGAGACCTCCTCACAGCAGCAGCCTCAGCCCACCTCAGACAAGTACGATGTGTTCAAACAGCTGTCTCTGGAAGGAGGCCTCAGCTACGACGACACCAAGGGCAGCGGGGGCGGCTCCTTCTCCTCTCTCAAGAGCGACACCGACGACTTCGCTGACTTTCAGTCCTCTAAGTTCTGCACGGCCCTCGGGGCCTCGGAAAAGACTCTTGTGGACAAGGTGGCAGCTTTCAAACACGGCAAGGATGACTCGGCCTCCGTGAAGTCCCTGGACCTGCCGTCCATCGGCGGGAGCAGCGTGGGGAAGGACGACTCGGAGGACGCGCTCTCAGTGCAGCTGGACATGAAGCTGTCAGACATGGGCGGAGACCTGAAGCATGTGATGTCAGACAGCTCTCTGGATTTGCCAGGTCTCTCGGCCCACCAGCCCCCTGCTACAGGTGAGGAACTAGTGCGTTTGCTCTGGTGAGACTGAACGGTGACACATGATGTTAGTTCCAACGCCAATTGAATATGCTCAAAAAAACACTAATTACATATCAGATTACATGCACCATTATTATCATGCATTTCATCCTTCATCTCCAACACTTTTATTTATTGATTTATTTATTTATTTAATGATTTATTTATTGATTTATTTATGTAAATCCTCAGTGTCTCCTTCATATCTCCATTATGCCCACATTCCCCTCCCCGCCCTGTAGATGTTGTTGCTAGAATGACAGATCCTGGGCATATCTCTATTTATTTACATATGACTAGTGCCTGGTTCGATGTGTTGGCAGTTAGAGTCCATAAACGAGGTCCCCGGCTGCTGTCTGTCCGACTCGGATAAGCCCCCGTGTTTGTTCTGTCCACGCTGCAGTGACAGACGTTGCACTTCTTTGTACTATTGGCGTGTGTGTGCGAGTGTGTGGTTAAGTTGTTGAGCAGAGGGGTCATTTGAATACAGATGAGTGCAGGAGGGCGTTAGCTGTGATGATCCTCATGTTTATTCAAATCGCAGGTTTCCGCGTAACGGATCCCAATTTTCCAAAAGAATCACCCAAACCATATATTTTTAGCTGTGCCGTGCTGAAGGCATTCCAAAAACGATCATTCTGATAAACTGGAAAGGAAATATCCCACTTGTTGAGACGTTGTGCATGCAACAGTTGGGAAAAGCGATTTGGTAGAAAAATGTTCTTCTGGTTGCAGTAAAACTTCAGACCTGAGTGCTTGACTTTGGGTGCATGTGCTTCTCTCTTTATGTCCATAACTTATTGTATTACCCTGCAGTATCTTCACTCCAGCCACACAGTATTATTTGAATCGAATGCGATGCGTCATGGCTGGTGTGCGTTTCCCTCCCTACCTCATGTACATGAAAGTGAAGTTGAAGTCTCCGTCTAATCCTTGTTGTTGTGTGATTTGTTTAAAGGAAATGAACCCAGTTTCCTTAACAAACAGATAGTGTCCATGTCACCGCTCCCTCTCCCCCTCCCTCCACAGCTCATCCTTTATTCATTTGGCATATCACTTCCACCTCATGGCTCATGTTACATGGCACCGATTCGTGGTGACACAGGAGACCGTATCAGTATTAGCTGTCAGGTGAAGACTTTGCAAGTCAAACATTTATCTGTTCTGTTGGCTTTTAGACTTAATCTGAAAGCCTGTCTTCATATTGAGTGTTCACAAAGCAAAGCCTTGATCTGTCAACGTTCACGCTGTCAGCCATCAGAAGTAGTTACATACCCATCAGATATTGATATGCACACTAAGTCATTTCATCCAAGGACTTAAGAAATTATTTCCTTTGCTTGAAGGTAAACATCCTCATTGCCTTATGTCAGTTTCTGTGCAGTGGTCAGATTTTGGTCCACCTGTACTGAGAGCAAACCAGTGGTTCACGCAGCTGCAGCGAAGCGGCTGAGCTGCCGACCGGGCAAAGACCATGCCCCTTTAACACCGATACATTCCTGAGAAACGCTGTCCCACTACAACAGCAGTTCCCATTTGGCTCCTCCATTTATGTGCCGTCGTGGTTCTGGGAGAGCTCTGGGACCGACCTGTTAAAGTGTAGCAGGCCGAGCAGCTCGAGCGCCTCACCACGCTTTGCACTGTGTTTCTGGAAATGTTTGTAATCTTAAAGAGACAGTATTTCTTTTGCCTAGTTCCTTTTGTCACAAAAGGAATCGCATATTTTCTCACTCTCCGTGTTTTTTGTTTTTTTTCCCCCCATTCTTATGTTTGATGGTTATCTGTTTTATTGCAACATGAACGTAACCCTCTGCAGAGCGGCTCTCTGAGAACATAATGAAGTTACCATTACCCTTCCTGCCTTGCTTTTTGCTGCAGTGTGCCTGCTTTATCAATTTGTGAAATTGACAAGAACATGACAAAAAAATGAGCATTTTATGCATTCAAAGGTATTGCAAGTTGTTTTATTGAAGCAAAAACCTATACATACAGATTTGATAGTGTATTTTTATTACAGGAATATTAATCCTATTTTGAGGCTCGAAAGGTTCCTTAGTCTAGTTGTGATATGCAAATGATCTCAATTAAAGCCTACAGTATTTAGTATTACCTTAGTATTCACTACAGTGTTTAGTATTATTCATTTAGTTTAGTTTAATAAGAATGTAAACAGCAATGTCTTGTTGTTGTTGTAGGGATCTTGAAGAGTTTGTGTTCTTTTCTCTGCTTTGACAAAATAATTACTGGAGCAAAAGAAAAGGGATACTGTCTCTTTAAATCTGTCCCTACATCTGTGATTGGATGTAATTGAGGCCCCCTTCTGGGATGTCAGGTGTAACCGGCCCCTGTTGTTTTTCTCTAACCCTTTGAGCGCTTGAACAAGATAAGTTTACATGTTTACAAGCAGATAAAGGAAAATCTAACAATAGTTTCCACTCATTAATCTTATTTAATTTGAATTGGCTAAATATAAACCGTTCCAGCGTCCCCACTGCTCTGAAAGCTTTATTTCACCCTTCTTAAGCAGTGATGCCTGCGTTTCCCCTCAGGTCCTCAAAGGGTTAATGCTTCCTGCCTTGTTCTCTGAATTATCTTTTCAACCAGGCTTTCCAAGTGTTCTGTATTTAAATCTCTTCCAAAAACACCTGTTGCTTTACATAGTCAAAGTTTTGTCATATCCCAAGAACTACTGATTCTAGTCTGTGAATGTGCCTTCTCTCTGGTCTCTGCTTCTTGATCCTTGGATTATCTTTGTTTTCAGCTACTTGCTCTTTGTTTTCTTCCTTTTTCTTCTGACTCTGCATGCCCTTGTATTCAAATGACTGAAATCAAATTTTACAAGTGTTAGTTTGACAAACCTCTTGTAATAATAGCCTCTTTCACAGTACTTTGTGACCTCTCTCTTTCTCTCTACTCATATTGTCGTAATAAATATTACTGTTGGTATTGCTGAAATGCGTACCGTCTTATTTCATTCCTTTCCCTTCTTGAGAGGCTCTGACGTGTTCTGATGACGCAGAGCTAAAAGAAGTAGATCCTTGTCAATTTCACAAATTGCTTTGCAGAAATAGGAAGGGTTCAACAGAGTGGATTCATGTGTTTGTGAGTGTGTGAATGCTGAAGCGTTCTCAAATGTGTGCAAGCGGTGGAGCTGTCTGTCAATATTAGTCATAAAGAAAGCGATTAAAACACGCTGGTAGAGACGCATCCACACAGTCACATTCAGTTTACAGAGATCAGCTCCAACTATTGTCAACAAACAGTGTGTCACTATTGAAAAGAGCCATTGTTACATATCCAGCGAGCAGGGATGAGCTGTGTTAGTGCAGCAGTAGGAGGAATGGGATTCACCTCAGGCATGACAACAAAAAGAGATCATTTATTTAACAGAAGTCTCTACACTGTGAGGGGGAGGACGGTGGGTCGGCATCACTGTCACATTTAGCAATGTGCCGAAGTCTAATTCGTGCAGATGTATTCTTTAAAGTGTGAAACGTTGAAGTAGGGCTTCCTTTTACAGCGCACATCATCTCATGGAGGTAAAAGTCTGGTTTAACCAGATCCAGACAGAACAAACCAACATGCCTTCCTGCTCCTTACCACGTTGATCCTGTCACAGAGACAGACAGAGACAGAGATTTGTGGCGTTTGTGGGCCTCCGTCTGCATGCAAAATCAGTGGGGCTTATGGGATTGAAACATGACAACTGTGTCTGAAACAGTAAATCCAAACCAGGGGCTCCAGTAAGGGGGCTGTTTCATTTGAAAGAAATGTTTCGACAGATAAATCTGCATGGGAACCACAATCTTTTGTTTTTAGTCCGACAAAAGATTCATGTACGTTTGTTTTCTATTTGTATGTTTGATTTCTATTTCATGAAAATCCAGAAAACTGAACTGGTTTCTGTGTCTTCTCAATGACAGAGAATACGATGAGAATGTTGGTGAGAGTCTCAGAGCCTCTTGGGCTGTAGATAAGTGAGACACGGTGTTAACCCGACAGAACTCCGGTCCTCCGTCTCGGCTCGTTTGTCTTCCTTCTATCATGACAGCATCTGTGCTATTCCTGGGAACCACTCGTATGTCTGTGTTGTCATTACAGAAGGAGACGACATGAAATTTGACCCCTTTGGGACATCCGCCCTCAGCACCCTGGCCAGCTATGACTGGTCCGACCGGGAGGAAGGGGCTCCGGGCGAGGTCAGGAGGCCGCCGGCTTCGGAAAGAGCCTCCCTCCCATCTTTAGTTCCGTCTCAGAGGACGGAGCTGAGCTTTGGCAGCAGTGAAAACATTCCCAGCAGCTCCATAAAGATCCTCGCCGAGGAATCTGCGGAGGAAAAATTTGAGCGCTTCGCCGACTTTGGCTCCGGCGACGGGTCCGGCGGTGTCGACGACGAGGACGATTTCGGGGACTTCGCCAGCACCGTGTCGGAGAAGTCCGACTCCCCCGCCGCCACAGCCTCAGAGGGAACCCAGAGCGAGGCCGCCGATGAGTTTGGCGCCTTCCAGGGGGACAAACCCAAGTTTGGCAAATCAGACTTCCTCAAAGCCAGCAGTCAGGCCAAAGTCAAGTCCAGCGAGGAGATGATCAAGAACGAGCTGGCCACCTTTGACCTGTCTGTTCAAGGTGAGTCGCCATGCAGCTCCTCCTCCACTCGAGCACAGATAAAGGTCCTCAAAGGATGTTTCGTTAGAATAACAGGGTAGCAGATAATGTAGCCAACGGAAAGTTTTTAGGCCTTCTGTCTTTATCTACTGAACAGCTTGAGGAGTTCCCATTAGGAATTGGGAGCGCCCCCCCCCCGTTTGAATCATAAACTGCAGCCTCACTTCTTCTTTCAGAAAACAGGAAAGCGGAACAGCGTTGATTGTGACAGAATGTTAGCCGTTAGAGCTGCTCTGCTGATTGTCTTTAAACGGTTTCAGCACCATCGTGAGATGTCGGTATATCTGTTTGGATCTAACCGTGATTGTTTTCGACAATGATACAGATTCAGCTGGGCCACCTATCTGCCTCTGAGAATAGCTCCTTCCTGTCTGCCTCTATGTTGTGGCTGGTGGTGTCTGTAATAAAGCTGTCAGACATTAGATGGTGGTGTTGCGGTGACAGCCCTGCTCTCGTGGCACCGACTGCCGAGATGGATTAGCAGAGGCCAAAAAAATCCATAAACAGAAATTAACCGTATCCACTTTAAGGCTGCTCATTCGTCTAACTGCTGTTTGCTTGTTTTATGTTCCGCAAATAATTAATGACAGTTTCCTACACCGTGCTAAAAGCCCCACAGATTAATGGCCCTGTGCTGGGCTTCATTTGTGGGAGGGGAAAGGGGGTCTAGTAACTCCTCTTTGGCCTGTGGATCCGTAATCTGATCTGTGGGGGGGGTTTGTGCTGGGGGGGGGGGGGGGGGGGGGGGGGGATGACAGATGCCTTTTAGGATGGTGGAGTACTTGGGGGTGGATTACCTGTGTCTGAATAATCCTAATGCGTGTGTGTACACACACACACACACACTAGCTGCAAGCCCATTAGATGTTGGCGTCACATGTTTGTTGTGGTGTCTTGACAGGATTTGTCTGTCTGAATCTCAGTGAATGATTCATGTCGGTGTATTTATGGCCTTTTTTTTTCTACCTGGATTGATTGTTTGCCCCAAATTAAGCACTTACTCATGCTACACTGCTTCAGGAAAAGTTGGCTAAACAGAAAAGTCTGATTGGAGACAAACAGGTAGATAGCTGGGAAACACAGTGATCATTAGGTGTTGCTATTTCTGAATGTTTGTGGCGCTGTCTCACAGAAGTCATCACCCTCTTCCTTGTCTCCCGTCATGGCCCCAGGCTCCCACAAACGCAGTCACAGTTTGGGTGAGAAGGAGATCGGGCGGTCGCCGCCCTCTCCTGCTCCAGAGCAGCCTTTCAGAGACCGGTCCAACACTCTGAACGAGAAGCCTGCCCTGCCGGTCATCAGGGACAAGTACAAAGACCTAACTGGAGAGGTGGAGGTGAGCAGGGCTCCCACCAGTAACTGTGTTTTTAACACCAGCAGATCTCAGCTCTGTTAATGCCCCGTACTGTGAAAGGCTGCTGGAGCAACCATGCTGAGGCTTTGTTTTTATCTTGTAGGAGAGTGAGCGCTATGCGTACGAGTGGCAGAGGTGTCTGGAAAGTGCCCTGGAGGTTTGTGTTTGTTTGAACTCGATCTTGTTCTGTGGTTGCAACAGTAATGTTGCAGGATAATTAAGATGACTAATTGGACTGAGACTGTATTCATGCGGGGACTTTAGTTTATGATGCATTTTACTTTTATTTTTATCGTATCAAAGTTTTTTTTTGTTTTATAATTTCTAAGATATTTGAAAGCAAAATGTATTAAACATACTCAAGTCAGTATAAGATGGTGTGCAAGAGTTGAACAAATGTAACGAGCAGAATGAGTAAGAATGTTGTCCTATCGTGTGAAAATGCTGAATATGTGTTTTACGCTGACGCTGAGCAGAAATGAACTGTGTGACATAACGGTGGCTCCATGTTAAGGTCATCACCAAAGCCAACAACACCCTGAACAGCATCAGCAGCTCCTCTGTCTGCACCGAGGTCATCCAGTCCGCTCAGGGCATGGAGTACCTGCTGGGTGAGGAGCCGCACGCTCTCTCACAAACACACACACACGCTAACGCACACACACACACACACCCACAGGGGGCCGCAATTATCAAAACAGATACGGCTCTAGATCTGAGTGTGGAAAAGAAAATCTAATTCCGTATTGATTGTGCCTTCATGGAAGCAAACAGCAGAGTTGGTGCGTGAACTCACTCACATCCCCAGCACTCTAATTCAGGCATATATGTTTTTTTTTTTTTTTTAAAGTCTCTTTTAAAAGTCTTTGATGGCTCACCTGTTGCAGTCGACTCGAAACGATAATGATTAGCTTGGGGAGTCGGTTAGTAGTGAATTAATTGATACACAGAGCATGCACAGAGCTCTGTGTATAAGGACTAAATCAATGAGGTCCCAGGATGAGATGTAAAGAGGAAGCAGGAGACTGTTAAACAACTCGTTTCATCCTCCGAAAGACCTTCAGGACAGAAATGACGGGACTAAGATGAACTCTGTGTTCAGTGGCTTATTTATCTGCCTGACGTCTACATTTCAAACCACTTGAAAAGTGGACTGTGCGTCCACCCCAGAGAGCCACAGACCGTGCTCATCCACTGATGTGTGCTGTTGTGGTGTTTGGGCCGTCAGGAGTGGTGGAAGTGTACCGCGTGACCAGGCGAGTGGAGCTGGGCATCAAGGCGACGGCGGTGTGCTCGGAGAAGCTCCAGCAGCTGCTGAAGGACATCAGCCGCGTGTGGAACAACCTCATCGGCTTCATGTCGCTGGCCAAGCTCACAGTAAGAGGCTCGCTGACCTCTGTGTTTGTTTATTAGGACGAGAAGAATAAAGAAAATACCCTCATTCATGCACACAGATAAGAGGCGAATTTTGATTCATGCAGTTTGTTCATTAGCGAATGATCAATGATGCAGGTGAAGCCTTTGGGAGGCCCGGTGTTCAGGGACAGCATCACTGTATTTACCCAGCCGTCGGCTAAACAGAGCAAAGACCAGTAGAGGGCTTTCAGACTTCTAAAAACTGAGACGCTATTCTAAATGTGCTTCAGAAAACAACACGTAGTTTACTCCACAAAGTTAAAGTCACGCAGAGTCTGTGCTGTTCTCATATACAATAGAAAATACTCCGTTCTGCCTTGCAGCGGGAAGTAAATTGTGTGTGTGTGTGTGTGTTTGTGTGTGTGTTTGTGTGTGTGTGTGTGTGTGTGTGTGTGTGTGTGTGCAGCCTGATGAAAGCTCCCTAGATTTCTCCTCCTGTATTCTGAGGCACGGCATAAAGAACGCCAAAGAGCTGGCGTGTGGAGTTTGTCTACTCAACGTTGACGCCCGCAGCAAGGTTTGTGCACACACACACACACAAACACACACAGAATAACTGTGACATGGATTTTGTGCTCATCATCCGCGGATAAGAACTGACATCTCTTTGACTTTGAAACATTTTGCAGAACAAAGACGGAAGCGCTATTGGACGTCTGTTTAAACGAGTAGGAGACAGTCATCCGTCATCCCAATCTCACTCCGTTCTTTGTACTTGGGAGCGATTCATTCTACCTTTAGAGACAGACCCTGCAGGGGGTCAAAGTGACAGGCTTCACCTCTCCACAGCCCCTCTCTCACATTAACTGGAAGTGAACAGAGTGTGTATTCCATCAATACGATCAGAGCAAAGACATTTCATTTGTTTTGGGAAGTATTTTCTCATTTTGCAGACATCAGCCTCAATCACTCCTCATTCATTACCGCTGTCAGGCTTTTCCCAACAACAACGATAACAGGCTGTCACAGACATCTGTCACAGATAGCAGAGTTCCTGCAGACCTTCCTGCTAAAGTGACCCGATTTGATTAACAGATTATGTCACCTCTCGCTAACCGCCTCTCAGCGCAGACCGTTTGCTGCTTTGATGCTTCATAGTTGGATGCAGTGCCGCTGCCATGCTGACACAGAGCTCTGTGCAGTTGTCATTTTACTGAGATAAGACTTCAGTTTATGTAGAAGAAATGACATTACCACTTATTGATTTAGTCTGAAACTATAGAATAAATGCCACACATAAAAAATAGATAAGTAAATGTACAGACAAATATCTAAATCTGAAATTTTAAAGACAGAATGTTAAAATAGAAAAAAATAAGGCATTTTCATTTCCTTCCAAATGTTTTATTTATGTATATTTATATTGTATTATCAGATAAATGTCACTCCACCATCAGTGCGGTCACATGGAGACTCGTCTGCCAGGTTTTTTTCAGCTGCTTTTCAGGTGAAAGCCTGTATTAAATCAGTTTATCTCTCCAGCAGTCTCTAAACATTTGACTTCTTCTCATATTTGTAAAGAAAGTCAAAGCTTAACAGTTGAGCTCTGCTTGAAAACTGCTCTGAAACTCTGATTGGACGCCCATTCTTCAGAAGACAGGCTTTTGCCACACAGGTAGAACCAGAGAATGGAGGAGTAGCACAATGCAGTGGGAGAGAGGGGAGACTTGTCACTTTGGCACCTCAGGGCGCCTTTTTGCACTCTGGGATTGGTTCTTCAAGGCAATCGGGGGTTGTTTCGTGCTTTTTTTTCCCTGTCACCTCCGTTTCGGTGTAACTGCTCACCTCCACACTTTCAGCTAACAACCATTCGTTTTTTAAATCACGGGCGGGTGTGCAGAGCGGCTGGACGTCTGGCTTCCTGGCCTACGGTGGCTGTGATTTCCTCGGGTGTGGGGCCCGTCCGGCTGCTCCGGGGTCAGGTGGGTGGAATGGCGTTGGGATTGTTTCTGCGGCTGAGCCGGAGCCAGACGGATGCTCCGGGCCAGACGCGGCTGACTGAGAGGCATCTTGGCTGTGAGCAGATGTGGCTTGAACATTAGTCAGAGGATGCCGCATAATGGACTCGCACACATTAAAAAAACAAAACAAACGCTTCCTCGCACATCTCCCTCTCCTGTGCACAGAGAGGGGCTGAAATGAATGCGGTTTTGTTTTGCCGGCGTGCCACAAGCAGGAGATTAATACCCCGTCTTTTAATTACACTTTTGGCAGAGCCACACTGATGAGGATGCGTACCAACTGAGGGGAGGCTAGAACCTTCTCCGAGTATATTGAAGTGAAAAAACATCTTTGGCCGCCGCTGATTGTTTGTGAAGAGCCGATTTTGTTTGTTCAACCGAGAGCGAGGAGGGGAGGACGTGTTGATGTGGCGTCAGCAGAGTTCAGGGGCTCCTTGTCAGATTTCTTTTTTTTTTTTAGCCTGTCTCACCTTGTTTCTGGTTGACTAACACTTCCAGAAGCATTTTTCTCCTGTTAAGAACATTTTAAGTAACGATCATTTAGATATTTGTAGGTGACGTTCAGAAGATTAGATATTTGCCTGGAAATGCAGGTGTCCGAGGTTCCTCAAACTAGTTGATTGCCTGTGTATCATGAAGCGTTAAAGACCCGCGTTACTCCATGGTATGATGTAGGTAAAGGCTTCTGTGCAAAGAAGAAATTCAGGGGATTTTGGAAATTGAAACACTTTGGTAGAAATGACTGTCATATACCTGAAAGCAGCCACTTGATAAAGCCCAGTTAGAGTTTAGTTTCTAGATACTAATCTTTATTTTAATGGCATTTTCAAACCTAAATTTTCAATGTGTAGTTCCCCTCCGTCCAGATTAGACAAGGTTATTTGGTCTCTATCTCTGAGCTACACAGTGCTCACACACTCCTCTTCTGATGTGACATCCTTTTTTTTTTGTGGATCGCTCCAGGCCAGATATCCTGCATTCGGAGGGAAAATGTGTTTTTCGCCCTGTGAAACGTGGTGGAGGAGCTCCGTGGCCGTGTGCCGGCCTCTCTGGGCGCTCTCGCCTTTGCTCTCTGCGCCGCACGAAAACAGTCGCCCCCCCTTTACTGCTGCCCCGCTGCTTTCGGGTTTTGAGCGACGACCGCGGCAGGAGGTCAGGGGTAATCATGCTTCATTTAGTTTGGACTTTTCTAAAAATATCAGAGCCGAGTAAAAAAGCTTGCTCTGTGCTCGGGGCAGATTTGGGAGCTACCTGAGCAGATAGCGGCCCGGCCTTTACACGCAGCTGCAAAGGTCAGGGGAATTATTAGTCCCCATCTCATCCCACAGCTCCAGCTCGAAAGCACGAACGCCATCGTTTTTTTCTGTGTAGTCAACAGCTGCCCGTCTAAACGCCTCCGTCCAGTCAGTCCCGGCGTAACGAGCCTCCGGTAGGCAGACGAAGTCCTCAGAGAAGCAGCAGAGGCTCCCCGATGAAAGGTGGAAGCTCCACGGTGCGTCTTTGTGCGAGCGGCCCTTTCATTTCACATCCCCGCCCCTCCCCACACCTCCGGCTCCGGCAGCCCCCCCAAGCGAAGGTTTGCGGGGAGCAAGTAGGCCAGGGCACAAAAGAGCCCTGAAAGGAGATCTGCTGGGCCTGTGTAATGTGAGCGGAGTGGAAAACCTGTTGTCCAGCCGGCGTTAGAGAGCCCTCCTCCAGCAGACTGCACCAGCCAGGTGGATGCGTCTTTGACTTAATGGTGTGTCATGGTGGAGGGCTCCAACCCCCCACCCCCATATTTTTTTTTTGGTACGCAGTCTTTGCTCTCTGCATGTGTTTTGCTGTGCCTCTGCGTGGGAGGATATGAATCACTGCACATGACTCACTCCTCTCTCAGGCTTCAGCTCCGTTATTTCACCCGGGTGCAAACCTCCCGGATTGGACGCCGCTCACATTAGCGTCTCCCCGTCGTGCACGCCGCGCCGCAGCCGGCCCTGTGGAGGCCACGGCTAGCCCACGGCTAGCCCACAGCTAACTAACATGTGGGGGTCAGATCGTGCGTCTGCCGCTTGCAGAATTCAGCTCCATGCAGCCTGTCGGTCAGCGAAACCAATTATTAAGCAAAAGGTTTGGCCAAGAGGAATTTTCCCATATCGAGTAGAAATAAGTGGATTTTTAGTAATCCACAGAACTAAGAAAGTGATGGGAAAGTATCAAAGGCTGCTCCACCCTCTGTGGATCAGTCACACATCAGCTTGCTTTTAGATTTTTCTTAGAACACTTCTGCCTTTTTTTTATTGAAAGGTCGGACTTGATTATTTCATTCCTGGAAAAACGGACAGAAACTTTGCAGAGTGCGTTTGTGGTGGAAGAGGATCAACTGTAGATCAGAGGCCGAATCGAGGCTTCGCTTGCCAAACGTACCAGGGCCCCCACATGGACAGCCAGGTGGATAAAGCTGGCTCTGGGGGTGTGGCCACAGGTTTTTTAGGTCATTAGCTTTCCTTCTTTCTGCCACCACAGACGCAAAATGGCCAGGCTGCTCTGAGCTGCTGGGCCTCCACAAGTTAGAATAAATCACCATTTCCGTATTTTTCAGCATGTAGGAGGTGGAGCTCCGCATCCCTATGATTTTGGAAAGCAGCACTCCCCCTCCCCAGACCTTATTTAGTGAACGATCAGACCAGTTTGGATGCAATCAGTCAAATGTTCGCCGTAGGAGGCTGTGCGGCTCTGGAGTTAATACAAACACACGCTTGTATGTTAAGTACTATTTCCATTGAGTGTATATTTTATGGTTCCTTTTTTGTACTGCGATTGTGGGGGAGCTGAGCGCAGACCCCCCCTCCCCCCCCAGTGCCTGTAGACGGCTGCCTACCAGCAGCTTCTCTGCTCTGTAAGTTGGCCGCAGTTTTCTGCAAAGTCTCATCCAGACCTGCTGTCACCGTGGTGACGCCAAGAACCACACAAAACGTGTTTTAGACCAGTCTGATAAATCACAGCCCGGATCAGGTGTGCCGTCAGCGGTCTGGTCTGTCTGGACCTCGTGCGTTTTGCAGAAACCAGCGGGGCTCCTGCCGCTCTGAACACCCACAGAATCCTTAAATCTTCCTTTTGAGTCCGGCTGAACTCTGCTGACCGGTCACCTTTGTGGAAGGCAGACGTATGAAACAGAAACCTGCAGCCGTGACTGCCCCCCCCCCCCCTCTCCCACGCTCCAGACCTGGAGATCGCGTCTTTAATATTTCACCCTTTGGCTCCGACAGGCTTTCAACTCCGAGACGGACAACTTCAAGCTGATGTACGGGGGCCACCAGTACCACGCCAGCTGTGCCAATTTCTGGATTAACTGTGTGGAGCCCAAACCTCCGGGCCTCATCCTGCCCGACCTGCTCTGAGCTGCCATGGCAACGCCGCCGGGACTAATTAGCATCAGACAGGCGGAGCGGCCGGTCGCCTCACGCCGAGGTCAGCAGAAGGACGTTTTCTAGTCACTGGATCCAGCTCCTGGTTGCTGTGGTTTCCACGCAGGTGAACGGGGCTGTCCGTCCACAGCCCTGTGCACTGAGGTCAAATTTAAATCTACTACTAATGCTGCTTGATGTTCTTATCACTTCAGAGTCGGTTGGTATTCCAAAAATGAGGAAGGCTAAGAGTCCTATTTAAACTATTAGGTGTGCAATATCATTTAAAAACACTGGAGGAGGGCTCGCGTGAGCATCTGGAGTTTTAAACGTCTTTATTTCTTTGCTTCTGTTTGAATTTTATTCGTGTCTCCCCTCGCTGCCCGTGAGGCAGACATGTTGAATCGTAAGTCAAATATTGTACTTGAACTACTTTCTCGCGGCGGGTCTGTTTGATGAAACTCGGAGGCTGTTATGATTTTAATATCTTTTAAAAAATTCAGATTCACTGCTGTGCTTCAAGACAGTTGTCTTTTTATGCATTCTGTGAAAGTAACTGCTCTGAATGTCTTTTGCACTGTCGGGAAGGCAATTTATCATCTTTTGAGGTATTACAGTTGTATTTTATAGATATTTGGGGGTGGGGGGGTGAACAGTCGGGGCTTGCAGAAAATAATGTTGACGTTTTTTCTGAATTGAAGTGAACAGATTTAAAAGTCTGGCAGAAGTTGACTTTGGGAATAAACTTACAGCTGATTTTTCTGTATATTACAGTGTTATGCTGTAGCGATGTAATTATCACCAACTGTAATGTGAATGTGGAAAAAATAAATAAGTGTGCTTATGGTTTCGTGACACCCATTATTCCTCTGATCCGACAGGAAGTCTGAACTGGACAGAGTTAAGCTGTGATGTTACTCCAGTGTCCCCCATTAGCTCACTATATAAAGAAAATAACTCTTTTTACTCCGTTAATAGTTGTAAAAAGTCATGTCACTCGAAGCTTTTAATCACCGATAAACCTCTATGTGGATTTCTGTCTCACTCCATCCTCACATATTCTACTTTTTTTTTTTTATTGCCAGGACAACCGTGTTTGTAGGTAACCAGTGTTGCCATGGGCGACGGGACATTTCCAGTGGTGGTTGCCTCACAGCAGACCAGAATGACCAGCCTTAAATGCAGTCCAGTATCACAAACAGATCTGTGAGAGCTAAAACGCGGGTCAAAGGGTAGCCCGGTTCCCTCCATCCATCCATCATTTGATTTTCTTCCACTCATCCAAGGTCTCTAGCTAGAGGGGGACGGACCCGGGGGGGGACAGCCGGACCCTCGGCTCCTATCGGGGTGTCTCAAGGACATGAGTGTCCATCAATTTACATTATGGCACCAACACATTAAAATGGTATCGGTCACAGTAAAATCGGCGTTGATGGAATATCGTCATGATCAGATTGATTAAAACTTTTAAGTGGATAAAAAAGTTTTAAAAAATGTGTTAATAAAAGCTAAAAGCTAGTTTAAAGTCAAGCCTCAAGAGAAACAAACTACTAACAGACAAATATGCAAATATAAAAACATTTGCATATATTAATATTTATGTAATTTTTTCCCCAATATATTTATCCAGTGTTTTTCTTCCAGAACAAACATCCTCCATTGAGTTCTTTCAGTCTGATATTTTCTGCTTCTCCTGTCAAACACACAACCCCTGCTGCACGTTTTCCTTTCCAATGATGGACTTTCTCCCAGGCCAGAGATGCTTCATCACTTCTATCACTTTGTCAGAAAATGGAATGATTTCTCCTCCCAGCCAGTCTGCCGGCCTCGCTGGCGGTTTAGCTCAGCCAATCAGACGAGACGTCCCGGGGCTCTGTGAGACCGGTCTCATTACGGCCCTCGCACCGTTCAGGTGTGTTCTCAAACATCCATTTTATCTCTCGCTGTTCCCTCATTTATTTCCAGCAGAAAAACCAATTCCTCTCCTCTTGAACAGCAGGATTATGGAAAATGACAAATACTGAAATCAATTACTGAACAAGGCTGATTCTTTGTAAATGAAGCTTGTTTGGCTCTTTTTCTGCCTCTCATCTTCACGCCTAGCGTCTCACACCCAGAGGTGATGGAGTTGATGGAGTTTTTGTTCTGGATGCTTGTCTTTGATGCTGCGTTTCCACAAGCTGCCAATGGAAACATCATTAGAGCCTTCAAAAACATGAAAAACAGTATTCGTTGGCCGAAAATCAAAGTGGACCATCGTGAAAGAGCTGTAAGAAAGGATGATTAGTTGTCAGGTGTTAATCAGCTCGTCCAGTTTTGAAGCATGTGGTGGTCAGCACGCCACCTCCGTTTTTTTCTTCCCCCAAAAAAGAGAATATCTATGTGTCTTGCTCACACAATAAAGAATAAAGGATAAAGAACAAAGTTCCAAGCAATGACACCAAGTATTTTAACCTCAAAATACAGATTGTTTTTAGATTGTAAGCGTTTAGCATTTGAAATTGTTGCTACGTCCAGCTTTACAGCTCTATTTCATGAGGGGGGGCAACTTTTTTTTTTGTCCATAAATCTCACAGAAAGCCCAAAGAAAAGGCCGTACGTGGTAGTTTTTTTCTAACAGAGGTCTTACTCGTTTTCTCTGCCAGGATGTTTCAGTGGAGAGCGAGTAGTGTTCGGTCCATTCTGTCCATCGGCCCAGACGGCCGAGGCTCTGACCATGACAGACAGATGAGTCACTCTTACACCGCAAAGACAACAGACTCATCACGCTGCCCGCTGACGAAGAGCGTCCGCCATGACGGGCCAAATTCTTCAGCTGAGGCTGCACATCTCTCTCTCATTCCGTCTAACGCGCTCGGTTATGGATTCTTTACATAACTACTCTGCATTTTCATTACCATAACTTGAAGGACTAACAGCATTTGAATACGCTGCGTGGGACTGATGTTAAGGTTTCCCAGTGCCTCTGGCAGCTGGATAAGCAGCCATTCCCTTAATGTTTGCCACCGCTCCCGGACTCAAAACGACACCCTCTGAATGACACCCGACATTTAAAACCTCTGCTGCTGCCAGAGCCAATCAGGTTGCCAAATGATGACCGTAACGAGGATGGCGGGGCCTGTTTGTGTTAATGCTGATATTTGTGCGTCTGGGTTTGTTAGAACTGAACTCCGGGCCGCCGCTCACACAGATTCCACGCAATCATTAAAGTCTGTATAATTTAGAAAGGGCAGAAAAAAGCCGGGACTCAATAAGTCAATGCAGCCAGAGCTCATTATTACAGCATATGTTCTTATTTGCTTTGGGTGGTTGGAATATAAAAAAACCTGTCTAGTGAAAAGAGAAATACTGCAGCCAGGATTTTATGCAGATTTCTCCCAACAACGGCGACCTGGGTGGTGTTTCCGGAGCAAGTAAACCTCCATCTGCAGATGGAACTTCATCTACATACACGGTGAGTAAATCCTTCAGCTCAGATCTACAGCAGAAACAGCTTTTATATGCAAATTGTGATTTTAAAACAGCATTGAGAAAAAAGGAGAATTCATGACAGCCCCCCTAAAAAATCATCAGATTAGAAAATAAAAGCAAAGGTACCATGAAGGTTTATGCTTTGAATCTTTCTTTAGAACTATGTTGAAAGTATCATTTCACTTATTTCTGTTTTGATCAACCCCTAATAAACGGTGGCAAAACAAGGAAGATTTGAGGGAAGATTGTCCCTGATCCCGTCCTGTTGAGTCAGGACAGAGCCACAAAATCCAAGCAACACATAAAGTTACACATAAATCTTGAGTTGTGGACAAAGTGCTTTTTATCGGTTCAGCAGACAAACTACTGGAACTTGTCTCTGAGTTTAGAGTTCTGCTTTCTTTCTATTTAATGAAAAAGGGGGGACATGCATTTGAAAACATCTTAAATTGCTTTTTTGGGTAAATAAAAAGACTGTAGAAGCACTATTATTAAAATACATCAATCTTATAGAACGGCAACAAGTAAACACAACAGATAGAAAAGAATACTTCTAAATCTAATATCCTGAAAATGAACTCTATAACCATAAAAATACCTCTATTTACAGTCAACTATATAGATTAAATAAAGAAAAAAAAACAGACAAATAATTGAATGAAAATAAGTTGTTTGTTTAAAAAAAAAAAGGATTTTGAATCAATTTAGAGATAGGTACAGTGAAAAATCCCAAACTGATTAAAGGACATGACTAAACTGACTTTCTAAAAAATAATTAACTGTAATATTTCTATGTATTTTTCATCACTGCACACTTTAGAAACAAAGCATTAAACGCCTCGTTGCCTGCCTCTCATGCTTTTTAGAAATAATTTTCTGCAAAAAAAACCTGAATAATCAACAAAGGAACATATCATAAAGCTGTGTGTGTGTCCTGCTGCTGGGGTGGGGGGGGGGGGGGGGGGGGGGGGGGGAGTGTTTGCTTTAGTGCTCCTGCCTGTACGCACATTAACATTAACACAGCCCAGAGGCGGGGAAGACAAAATAAAAGAATAAAAATCCACTTCCCCCTTAGGGGAGAAACAGTGTCTACAGTGTGTAATTTGGAGCCATCAGCCGAGCGTCTCTGTGGTGGACGGCCTGCCGTAGGACAGGCCTCGTCTCCGTGGTGATGGAGTTCTTTGTGGGGAGACCACTCCAGAGGTTGTTCAGAGGAGTGGGCACAAGACGAATAGCGCTCATCAGTTTTCTGCCTGCTGCTCTGTAGCCACCGCAAATGAAAATGAATGACAGAACACTTCTTTGACATCTGAAGACATCTCCTGGGAGGAAGGGGGGTGGGGGAGGGGGGGTGGAAATGGCCGTGTGGAGTGAACATCAACAGGCCTTGGGAAGAGGAAACGCTGCAGCCCGCTCATGCGGAAACATCTCAGAAACGCCTCCAGACACCGTTAAAAGAAAAAAAAAAAGACACCGGCGAATGGTAGTCAGCCTTTGAGCAAACGCACATTCAGGAGCCACTAAACCGGAAACAAATCTGCCTCTCCAAAGAGATGTCCGCCGTTCTTTTTCATTTAATGTCACTGTCTTTGGGCTTTTACAGTCACTTACCACCAGACTTTATTCCTCTGCTAAAACACACACACCGTGGACTCACTAATCATTTCAGAAGACTCATCATTTATTCTCGCTAAAAGCCAGAAACCCATTGGCTGTTTATTGTAGCACTGCATTATTAGATTCACATGCATAGCTAATGACAATAAGACCCACCTCTAATCTGTACTTCAGGCTTTTAGCCGTCAGAGAAGTTTAAGCATAACCATCAACCAGCATTATGTTTTCAGTCTTTATTTATGATCAATTTATGAAACTTTCAGCATGATGTCCTGTGCAGCCAGTAGATTTCTATCAATTGGGACATTTTTAAAACATGTTTTATGCTTTGAATAAAGCACAATTTCAACTGTTAAGAGCTGGAGTTTGAAATGTAACTTCACACACTTTAACACTATCTCTGTTTCAACCAGGAGGTGATGGAAAACCATCACATTTTTTATTGTTACATGTATTAAAAGAGGGAAGATAACTATGTTAAGAGAAGGAAAAAGATGACCAATTTAAGAAAGAAAAACAAGACATGTTTGGACATATATTAGGTCTAACGTTTTTTAAATTAACCAACAGGTCTGCAGCAAGACGCTGGGTTAGCGAAAAGCTTTCTGGTGGTCTTTTTAAGCTTTTCATGAGACGTTAGTTGCCAGACTACTTTCATTTTAACACAATTCGCCCTGGGGCTGGCTCTTTCGCACATGTCACGGGAACCAGTCACATTAAAAACCTGCATTATTTTGTGCTAAACTATGGCAGCAAAGA